GAGCCGTCGTCTGACAGGTTGCTGTAGCTGGGAGACTGAGCTGGAGAGGCACTGGAGGTGGTGCTGTGAGCATCCGAATCTGGTGGGCAGAACAGAGTGTGAAAAGCGAAGGAATGATTAGGTGTGACCAATGTGGTACGCATGACACACAAAAAAAACTCTTTACAGAACAAATGAGTGAGTTCAGTTAAACATGTGTAGCTGAATGCCAGAACGCACTGTTTCTTTTAAGCTCTTTCTGCAGCCTGCTGATCTGGCTCGGACGTGCTTTCTTAGAGATGGATTTTATCTTCTTGGGCCTGGAAGTAACCTTTAGGCTTGGACCTCCTCTAGCATCAACAACCTGTATGGAGGAGAGGAGAAGTTCATCATTTTATATATTTTATCACAACCAATTAATAACTCAATCATAACATCAGTATAGAAATCCAAACTCACATGGTTCCAGTTCTTCTTTGTTCCCACAGGTAGCTTTTTCCATCGTTTCACCAGGAGCACACAAGCATTACAGATCTCTCCAGATCGCATTTCACTCAGTCTGCAAGACAATTAAGTTTGTGAAGGAATGACACAGTGAAAAAATGTCTCTCCTCAAAGCCCACGTGTTCAGCTGTGCTCCTTACCCAAAACAGCTTGTGAAGTCTTTCTCATACCGCTTGCTGTCCGTGAAACGAGAGCTTGAGGACTTTGCACGACAGATGCAGCAACCATCCAAACTCCTGTACATTTTTGGCTTATGAAAGCCAAACATCTGCATGCAAAGAAATTTACAAATATTAACATTTCAGGCTCTACTCAGTGTGCATATTTGGTTAACTGCAGTGCATCCCTGCTGCCGTGCATTTCTGGCTCCGATCATAGGGGATACTTGTAGTATTTCAGTTTAGCTTAATGTGAATTAATACAGAAATAATCTGGTTTTGTCACGACCAGAGTGCACTAAAGCATCCAGGGAAAGCGATTTTTGTTGGAGCATCTCTCCGCTTTGACCCACATGGGGGAAGTAGGTCAACAGTCAGACAGCGTGTCAGACAGATCATGCCACCATGCTGCACTCACAGGATTCACCATTTATTTTGGAAATTCAAAATATACGCACGCACTTAGTCCGATCCTCCAGGCTGAAGAGGATACGTTATTTTCTATGGTTAAAATCTACAAAATAAGTACTGCCAGAGAAATGCAAAAATCTAAATGTATCCGGGGGAAATCACTTCAAATGTAATAAGCGCTCCGATTATGCAGAGGAATTATGATTTATGTTGCTAGGCAAAATTTAATCTCCACAGCACATGTAGTCCTGAACTGCGGCAAAACTGCGAGCCGCGCCCCCCAGACTGGGTTTTTTTCTTGCCATCAGTCCTCGGGGTCTTCTGGCAGTGCGGTGCCACAGAGAGCAGACAGACAGCAGGAGAAACCTAAGACCGCTCACTCTGCTGGTTATATCAGATACCACTTCAGGTTAAGCAATGGGAGGGGGGCTCGTTTTCAACAGTAAGAAATCTAAAATGTTAAGTTCGTAAATGTAATTATGAATGATGGCACATTTAACTATGTATTAAAATAGCGTATACATCATATGTATTATATCAGTATGTAATGTAATGAAATGTATCGATGTAGGCCTATACTATACTGTTGCAGAACGTTTATTTGCAGACAAGTGCAAATAAGTGTTTCACAGATTTAAAATCTTAAAATATAGAACTTAGTGGTCACAACTTGTATGACAAGTTTTCAAATGAAATAGATTAAATGCGAGAAGAATAATCAATAATAATCCAAACCAAACAGATATGATCAGAATGGTATTAGAGTACAGTAGAAAGCAATCTTTAGCTCGGTGCATGTATCCGAGTGTCTCCTCTGTAAACTGCACACGATCTCTGCAGCAGAATACTGTACGTGACGCAACTCAACATGGCAACACACTTCAAAGGCGGAGGCAGTGTGGAGAAGGGGGTGTGATGCGATTTTCCGCAAAAGCTTTAATATTAAGAAGTAAACTGTAAAAATCCTCTTGAAATCAAGGAGGACGTGCGTGACGAACACGCCCGCTTTTTAAAATAAAAGAAGACGCCGAGAAATGCACTTGTTTTTATCGAGAGTAAAGTGCAAGTCGCCAATTTCGCCGCCCACTCCAGAGAGGAAGCATGGCATGCCACACGACCTGCTTCATGCGCACCCATTTTATGTTGACCGTCCTCTGCTCGACGATGCCCGACTTTCCTTCCGAACATCAACTTTATATAGCGAGGCAAACTAAGGCGAACACATTTCTAAAGCAAAATACCTTGCCCTGTCTTTTAAAAGGAAAGCCGCCATGAGAAAATCGTGTAATTTGATCTTTACTCTTTGTTATTCCTCAGCCGCGTCACTGCAACAGTCCTCCTTCAACTACATGTGCACGAAGTTGAAAGCGACGGCTTTTTGGAAGTCGGCGTTTGCATTATTTTCTCACACTAAACAACACGTTTTATCCAGTTAGAGGTTCATAAGGCGTTTACATATAGTTTGAGTTTGCGGTAGCTGTTTTGTTGACACCAGCGGCAGCGTGCTGAGTCGCATCTGTGGTCCGGGTGGGCGTGAGAGCTCCAACTTGGCGTATTTAGCAGGCATAAATGTTTAGTAGGCTGCTGGCGCACTACGGCCAGACAATGTGGCCATTAATGCTGTTTAGAAGAGTATGTTTCGACCGTAGTGCTCACAATAACCGACTTTAAGCACATTTCGGGAGAGATAAAAGAGTAGTTTCCTCCAACAGTCAGATGCACCGAAGCAAACAATAACAGCCGTCCCTTGCTTAAGATGCTTGCCCGTTAAAACACTAATTAAACACCTCTTCGCGTTTATCTTCCATTCCTTCCACTTTGCCCGGTTACTTTTAACTGTTCATGAGGATACCTACACACCACGTTGACCACCCAGTCGGTTTTACAGTAGGCCCTTAACACAGCAATTGTTCTGAGACAACTCGAACGTTGTTTTGAATTACACATCTGAAAAGCACAACTAAGACTTTAAAAAACCTAAAGCTTCAAAGACCCGACACTACAAATAAAAACAGGCGGCATCAATTACCTTGCTGCAAGTTGCTTGAAGCTGTTCAAAGTAATAGTCCAAATCCCACGCGCGTCGTTACGATGTGAGTATTATGAAAATCAACCCGCATCAGTAACCCGTTCCCTTGTTGATGTCTGCGCTTGTGGACGGGACTGGATAGTTGTGGACATACTGCGCATGCGTCGTATCCACACCTCCATTTCAGAGTAGGGCAGAAGGCTTTTTTCTTTTTCTTCAATCAAACTATTTACATAAACAACGTGTGACGTATCCGTGCGTCTGCATTCTACTGGCCTTATAAGGATGGGAACATTGCGCGGGAACAGGGGGCACGGCCCCGGTTGCTATGGCACATTGGAGGGTGTAAGCGAGGGGGCGGGGCCTGTCGTTTTACTACTCAACGCCAGATGGCCCGTCTGGAGGCCTACGGTTTTTAGGGGGCTCGGCGTCTAGCAGGGAGATGCGCTTTGTTGATTTGAATTGCGTGACAACAAGCCAGATTAGTGGTAGGCTAAATAAAAGGTGGGTGAAACATGGCCTCCATCCAGTGGTCAGTTTAGGGCTAACAACCATCTTGATAGTCAGCAGCGAACCAATCGTCCTACGGCCACATAACACTAACGTTACACCCGTTTGATAACATTTACTAGGATGTATATATTGTTATCGCTCATTGCAAATAAAAAAGGGGGATAACCGAGTTATTACATTGTTATAATGGAACCTTGAATAGATCGGTGGGCAAAATAAGATAAGACTTAATTGATCCCTCACTGGGGAAATTCACTTGTTACGTCAGCTCAGGATACAGCACAACAACAAGGAAAACACAAATTAAATAAAAAATAGAATTGAAAAATACAAAACATAACAGAATTAGAAGAATAAGAGTTATATGTACACTATATGCACCTTTTACAGATGTGATTAATATGAAACATTGCAGGAGGTAGTGTCAGGGTGTATAATTAAATATAATTGCACAGGAGAAAATTATATATACAGTATAGTTTAGAGTGGTAGTTAAGTTCTCCAATACAATTCTGCAATAAATGTACTCATTACTCTCTACTCCTTGTAAGTACAACACAAGCACCATAATGTTACTTTGTGTTAAAAAAAATACTATAATTATCCTATCCTATTAGATACCTGTGGTTCTCCTTTGGTCCGGGGACCCCCAAGGGTCCTTCGGGGGTTTCCAGGGGGTCCCCAGCAAAAAGCCAAATAATTTATTTTCACTATAATTCCATCCATGAGTCACACATTGACTATTTTGGTCATGGATTTCATACACTTTCTGTAATAACACATCTACCTATCCAAACCAATCAAACATACCAATCACGCTACCATCCCTCTAGGACACCACACCTCCAGGAGGCAAGCAAGAAAGATTGCAGCTGACCCCTCCCACCCATGACACAAACTGTTTCAGATACTTCCCTCTGGCAGGAGAATGCAGTCCATCAGAACCAAAACCTCACAGAAGTTTCTTTCCATCTGCAGCTTTCCTCATTAACAAGGCCCAGGGACATTTGGCGTTTGGACATGCATTTGGCAAACTACAACAGTCAAAGTCTTTGTACCCATCAGATGCATTTGGGGTGGTGGTGATGGTACAGTGGATAAGACACATGCCTTTGGTGTGAGAGACCTGGATTCGAATCCACTGAGACACTAATGTGTCCCTGAGCAAGACACTTAACCTCTAGTTGCTCCAAAGGCGTGCGACCTCTGTCGTATACAGCAATTGTAAGTTGCTTTGGATAAAAGTGTCAGCTAAATGAATTAATGTAAATTTAGTCCTATGTAATAAGTGTACAGTGAACTTTTTTGCAACTGTAAATCTTTTTACTACGCAAGAATCTTCTATCCTTTCAGACATGACAGATTTGAGTGAACCACACACAATAACTAAACAATACAAAGACATGTCAGTTATGTCAATATTAACTTTAATCTTTGACAACACATTTCATAAATAGGAATTCTTTATTGCTTTCTCTAATCTGTATTTAAATGATAACATAGGTTTGGTCATTGTGGGTTACATAGTGCTTGCAGGACAGTGCACAAGACAACATTTTCATTATTCTTCAATTGTTAAATTAAATCCGACATCAACATAATACCTAGCGTTTAAGGACCTGTGCTCTATTCATTGTCTGGAGACAAATGAACAGTTTAGAAACAAACAGCAAGCATGGCTTTTACGCACATAATCAGTAAAGTGTGTCAGTAGTGGAATCTATTGTTATACACAGACACAAACAAGATGCCTTTATACAGAAAAAATATGCCACACAAGCCATTACACCATAATAACAAATGGGCACAATTCTATCAAAGATCTAATGAAGCAGAATATTTACAATGAGAGAGGGGGGGAAGCTTTCTGACAAAGACTATTTGAACTGACACAATTAGGACAGTAGTTTGGTTTCAGTATTTCACCAACTGAGAATTTCATGAGCACAACTCTGCAGCATGTGACCCCCCAAACTGAAATAAACAATGGAAAACAGGCAAGATGTTACAAAATATAACAAGAGCATAATAACATAACATTTTGTAACATATTATAGAGTGGGAACAGCATCTTTCTAGAGTATATTTACTAAGATGTCCAAATGAATGAAGTCAAGAAAAAATATATATAATATATAATGAGGCCTGAGTCCTGATATTTCAGATCACAACACACTAAAAGGTAAAACAAACGGATTTTGGCCATGCATGTGCTTAGTTTAAAATTCAAGTGCAAGCAATACAGCAGTTGAAGGAGAGTTAGAGTTGTCCTAGGGTCAGGTACAGTAAATGATATGAGCTATGGAAATATCTACTGTGGTGGTGAGATTTGAATGACTATTTTTCCTTGAGGAAACAGAATTTCACAGTGTAAACAAGCATAGGAAAAATCTGACTATTTCCTGAAGCAAATACAATATATAAGACATTTACATCAATGAACAAGGCAGTATGTTTGGAGCTCGAATTGCCAGTGACTTCATCTCGTCCACTGTCCCTTTTTTAGGATAAAGTCACATTTTCTCAAGTGTCTGAATGTACTTCCTTTTCCTGCAGATGGAAAGATGAATTTTTGAACTCATCATCAGCATTCCTGCAGTAGGATACAGAGCAGGGGCTGGACTCTGTGCTTATCTGCCAGGGGTCAGAGGTCAACTCCCTTTACCAGTGCAGTCTCCAGGGTGATGGTAAACTCAGTGAGTGTGTGCAAGATACGGTAGAGGGAGTGTACAGCAGCACGGTCCCGTAAGAGAGCGCCTTCCTCATATGTTCGCACTGTCAGGGGACACTCTGCCAGCAGGGGAAGCCACTGAGCGAGAAGCCGGTCCCTGCCGAGAGGAACAGGTCAACAATGGGCCCACAAATAACTCATTAACTTGAAGGTTAGTTAGCTGACTGCACTACAGAACAGGTGCCTCGTACTTTCTCTTTAAATGACTTTCAACCAAGAAACTAAGATGCTGTCAGTGTTCATTAACCTGAATGTTCAGTTCATTCAATGTCACTGGCTCAAGAAATAATATTTTGAAAAGACAAAGTTACAGACGTTTGACACAGCAAACCCCAAATATATTGCTAAACTGTTTCTACTTTTTTAGGGCTGTTTGCTTTAAGTGACAGTATATGGGGAGAAATAGAAAAGGACAAGAAGAGAATATGTGACCTTCCCTAGACTAGACCCAAATCTGTTTGACCTCAACTTGTTAATTAATTAAATAAATTGTTAATTTAATGAAATACGCTACGTGCGGTATTTCATAAAAAAAAAAATGTGTGCTCTGAAATTATAGCCAACCATACTACTCAGATTTGATTTATCTTTATTGATTCTGACTGTTGGTGCAGAGTCAAGAGAAAAAAGGGGTTTTGTAACAGCAGTTTTTTTCTGCATCCGGTGTTCAACCAGTAGAGGACGAAGGCTGACACTTTCCCTTCATGAACTGTATGTTGTTCTGTAAATTATTCAGTGATGCTGCAGGCTACTTCGTCAGGGCCTCAGGAAGGAAACTATATCACCTTTGCCCAACACAAAATACAATGACCAGGATGCTTTAAAATCATAGATTCCAGTGAGAACCTGTTTCTGGTTTAAATACAAATCCTAAATCTATCTTAGACTTAATACATGGATTATTACATTATTAAATTATGGACCAATTGTTGAATTTTTAATCCCTTTGGTTTAACTGTTACCATCTATCCATTAATTTTTTGTAATGACCAAATTCTCACCTATGGATCCTAGTCTTGCAACCCCAGCCATGTAAGGAAAATTTCCTCTTTCTTATTTATTCAGATTTGTCCTTTTGTGCTAAGGTGTTGCGGGGGAGTTATTTCCTCATTTTCTTCGGGTTACTCTTTGACTCTTTTTTTTTGGTGAGTTTTTAAACTGTCCATTAAAAAAATTAAGGCCATTTACCTGATTCCCAGGCAGACGAACAGCTGGAACTTGCCCTCTTTCCCGATGTTTCGTGGCGAGGCATTAATTGCGTTGACGTAGTGGCACAGTGAGTCAAAAGATGGACCCTTTGTCACTGTTGATCCATGCAGGTCACCCATCTGATCAGCTGTCTCCATGGAAACCACTGCCTTCTCTATGGGAGAGAGTTGATCACACTGTCAGTTCATAACGTATTAATATACAGACAATAGGGAACAAAAAGGTTGTACCAGACAAACACTGGTTGTTCAAACATAAATCAAGCTTTGTTGCATGAGATTTGATAAGTAAAATCCACATTAACCACCACTAGATGGAGACATGAATCAGACTTCAGCAAGAAGAATAACATCACTAACACTCACAGTACTTACCTACAAAGTCCCAAACAAACACGTTCCTCTGGAAAAGACGGTTGGATTTGAAGCCATGCAGGAGGAACTTCTCCAAGGAAAGCACCAGACCTCCTTCACCACATAACAAGACCGTCAAGTTTCCCCTCTGGGATGAGAGAAACGGGAACAAGGTTAATATATGCACTGTAAGCAAGAGGCTCATCTTTCAACTTCAGTAAATTCCCCTCATATAAGTGAAAGAAGGCACTGAAATTTTCCAAAATAATCCACAGCAAAGAACAGTTTTTTTATTTTTTTATTTAAAAGGCGTTTTTTCTTTCATTTTCTAAGAGGAAGTAAACAGAACAAATGCATGTACAGTAAAGCCTGTGCACTAAAGATGTTCCAATGAATTGGAGGCCCCATTACTGATAAAGTAAAGTGATCCATCAAGTCTCTACAGCGCTTTTAACTTGGTGCTGTTGTGATGAGAAAGGCTAGTCTGATACACAAATGAGACAAAGCCGGGGTAATGAACCATGTTGGAGATATAAATAACACAAGCAGGACGTTGACAGGCAAACACACTCCTGCAGAGATGCTCGTCTTTGCATTAAGTATTTTCACCTTGTTTCAGCTGAATGAACGTAGAAGCGGTGGGATACAATCGCCATCACATTCACATACCTCTTGTTCGGGTTTGTGGAAGTGTTTAACAAGGTTATTTGCTGCCTCCCTCATGTCCTCTTGTACTTCAACAGACAGCAATCCTGACAAAGATAAATGAAGAATAGTTACACATAGAAACAAACACGAGGATGAATGAGGACAAGGATGAGAGGAAGGGGCTAAAACAGAAAGGCAATCCAGGAGCAGAATCTGTTATTGTAGTGAGCAAACCAACAAGTAGGTCATTTATTGTACTAAGAGAATGTGTTCTTTGTCAGTACGCACTGCTTCGGCTGCCAAGCGATCCCAGCACTGTCCGCATACTCTGAGAAGGAGAGGCCAGCTCCGGAGGCGTCCCTGTCCACCTTCCAGCATCCTCCTCTCCACCAGGTGACACCAGCTGACCAATGAGAACTCTTTCCAAGCTGCCATCACCCACGCCTTTCCCCAGCCATCGGCCACATGGGAACCTGAAAGGCAACAAGACCCTTTATATCCAACTTAAAAACGTGATTTATTATACAAGCACATGTAAGTACTGTTGGGTAAGACTGTTCTGTTCAGCTAGTGTAGCATGGTGAATGTGCATAGTTTGTTTATCTAATAACCTCTACGAGGACGGTGGTTTGGCACATCTTTTTATAGTTTAGATAACTAACAATGACTTTCCAATGCAACACATTTCTTTAGACTAATCTGCTCTCTATTAGGCAGAACCTGCTCTGAGTTCATGACGACATGGTATTAAATAAACTTGCAGAGACCTAAGATATTGGTAGTCCATCACAGTAAACATGCAGTCACTTATTTTTCATGTCTACAGAATGTTGTTATCCAGAGATAAATCACTTTTCTCATGGGATTGTCATCGTATCTTTATCAAACGGGAAGCTACGGTCACGGACCAAGGTCAGAGCAAGAATCTCACTTGTAGGTGTGTCCAGTGATCTCATTATACACCACCACACAGTCAATCAGACACTTGGCCAGCAAGCCAGAGTTCTCCTGTCCCAGCTGCAGAGTGCTCAGCCTGCCCAGGTTCTTGCACTGAAATGAGAAGCACAAAACCACAGTTAAGTGTAGCCGTGCACACGTCTCTGTCAGAGGTGATGTTGAAATTACCGCTGCGGAGTTTGTACAAACCTGGAAAAAAATCTCTTGTGCATTCTTCGGGATCTGTCTCACTCCAGAATCACCCAGTTCTCCTGACACACACACCCATGGGTTAACTGTTGCCATCGCAATGCTCAGCTTCTTCATGGGTATTATCACAACACGGTATGAAATACCTGGAGAGACACAAGAGAGCATGTTGTATTCATTCATGTCAGTTCCTTCACACTTAACATTGTCCAGCTCTTTTCACAATATTCTTGTTTCTTTTCACAGCATAAGGGCAATTTTAGGGGTGGAGATGGGTGAAGCAAACTTTCAGTGTCCTTGGAAGTTATAAACCTGCCAGTAAATTCTACCATTTTGTTGTTAAAAGTTTACAGGACTCACTGATGGAGGTGAAGACGCGTGTGAAGCAGAGGTAGTCCACAGTGTTGAGAGAGAGCAGGTGGAACAAAAACTGCTCCCTTTCTTCCTCGCAGAGCAGGAAAGCATGAGGTTTATACAGCTGCCTGTTAGGGGACAAAATTAAAGTCTGTCAAAATCATGCGACTTACTATGAATGAAATCCAGAAACATTAGGTTTGCGTCTGCTTGTCACTAGGTCTGTAATAAGTGAATTCAGACCTGAGCAGCTCCTGGTTTGTAAGCAACTCTTTAAGGTGCTGGGATAGCATTTTCTTCTCCAGAGCCAGGTGGATCCAGGCCCGGGCCTGACCCACCTCAGACAGACCCTCACTCATGACCTGGATAAACCTGGAAGAACAACAGAGAGACACATGAGCAGAGAAAAACAAGCTCTCATGCACAGCTTTTTCTAGGCATTTCATTTTATAGAAAAATCCAAGCCTGCGACAAAGATTTATAACCTCTCATGACCCCACGAGAACAGAAATAAACGCTGAAGATATAATGTATTTGTAGTATATTAGTATCTAAAAAAGATAATATATTGTCTTGTACTAAAGCTCAGCCAATATACTGGTTATTTAAAAGGAGGAAATTAAGTTATTTTTTTATCTGCATTTTTTATAAAACTTGACCTTTTATGCCATTTATCGCCACTCTTTCCCATATCAAAGTATGTCTTCTCTCATTACCTCATATCCTGCATTAATGATCCTCTCAGAAGCAGAGTGCCATCATCAAACGTTTTCTGGTCTGACCCTGAACAGACAGCAAGTTACACAGTAATGATCATCTGACTGTTAGCTCAGTGATTTACACAAAAAGTCTGTGGTGTGCTCTGACCTGGAGACTCAGCTGGTGTCTCCATCTTCCCCTGGGCCGCCTGGTAGTGAAGCAGATGGGACCAAAGAGCAGACTTCCCCTGTTCAGAATAAAAACACACACGGTCATCTCTTTGCGTTCATCTGCATGATGCGAATTTGTGTACATGGGGACACACAGGTCCAGATGTTTGGGTTTTTAGGTCATCTGAACTGGTAAGGCATTTTAAATAATGTGTCTGTGTGTCTGACCTGTTTCAGCTGCAGACCATGGCCCCAGGTCCTCTCCAGTAGGTCACATAGACCGTGGATGAGTGTGTTTTCCTGCAGGCCTGTGATGTTGGCTTCTCCCTGACCCAGTTCCACACTTTCCTTCCCCATCCTCTCCATCAACATCCGTTTCGTCTAGAAAGACAGGAAACATTTTGACCTTGAACGATGATTTAAGAAATCAATGACCACAGTGCCTCCATTACCGCACGGATGGAGCGCTCACCTTCAGACGACACTCACTCAGCAGCCCGTCAACAAACTCTCGGTGAGTCTCAGCGACAGCTTGAGGCGACGGGTCAAGTAGTTTAGACTGGCGGAGGTTTTTCCTCGCAAATGTGTGCTTCTGTTAGATAAACAAAAGGGTAATAAATCAGACTCAAGCCTCCTGTGTGTGTGTGTGTGTGTGTGTGTGTGTGTGTGTGTGTACACATTCAAGCACCTGTCTCTGTTCATTGTCCACTCCTGGGTGTTCAGTCGCCGTTGATCTCTTGGGGTCGGTCCTGCGTGATGCTGTACCACGACTGGACCACCTGTTCACCCAGATAACACAGCAAAATAAAAGTCACAATTTCAACGACTGTATTTAAAGCACATGTGTGTATTTTGGTCGGTAATAAAGTAGACCCTGGCTACTAGTGATATACTAATTGAGTGGTTCCTATCCTTCATTTTCCGACATACCCCAACAGCCCTATCAAATGTTTATTTTAATTTATTTTAAAGTGGATGTTAATAAATAACACTATTGCTTAAATAGAAGTGAATATTGTTACAATATTTTTTTTATACAAGTGAATTGTCAGTGTTGAGGTCAAATTTGTACTATTACTTTGTGTGGCAGGAGCAGCACCTTTCAACCATTTAAATTACCTTTACTTATTAAACTGTTTATCCATGACTTTGGAATATCTATCGGTGGAGAACAGAAAAATACAGAAATGCTTTTGTACCTGCAGCTATTGCTCTACTAAACAAAGCCAGCACAAGATAATGCACTTTACCCATGAATGGAGCTTTGAGTTTTTGAGTGAGTGGGTGTGTGTAGAAGCACTTTGTCATGACATTCTCAAGAGTTCTATATACGTACGTATCCACACACGCATACACACACACACAACTAATTATTCTAACTGAGGCAATTTCAACTATTACTCTTAGGAAATTATTCCAAAAGTTTTTTTAATTACTTTAAGCTATTTCAACTATTTATCCAATAAGTTAAGCTATCCATTTCAACTGCTTACTTTACTTACCAAGTATTTATTGTGATAATTCACAAAAACTCAGAGCATCACACCGATGTGTAACCCTATTTGGATGTTTATTTTCCTCCTAAAGTATGTGGATATATTGGTTTAATCACAAATATATATTTTAAAAAAAATCAAATCAGTTGAGCTACTCCTTGTACCTTCTGGGCCTGGGTAAACAAGTACCCATGGATGGAGATCACTGTTCTAATGTAATCTCACTGAATAGCAGCAGAAAACAAAGGCTCACTTGTTGTTTTGTCCCTGTACAAGCACATCAGCCTGCAGTTTAGGGAAGTAGCCCGGATGGTGACGGCCCTGGCCAATCCTCATGTCCAGCAGGTGGGGGTGTATGGCTGTGTGGTCAGCCTTCAGCAGTCTGCGCTCAATGGCCTGAGCTGCAGAGACAAACAGAAATGGTTAAGATCCAATCGGGGTATCTACTGTAGATAAAACGATGAGTCATGAAAGTGATGTTAAAGACTTTTCCAGGGAGGACATTTAATGCCACCTCTTGCATGAACATCTTGTATTCAAGTTGATTTAGTGCTTTTACGTTTGTTTTGTTGCTAGGAGACTAACAGGAAGACTGGAGCACACAGTATCCAACAGCAAAAAAAAGAAAAAAAGAAAAAAAAAATGGAGCAGCATCTCTAAAGCCAAGCCTAAATGTTAAACATATTACAGACAGGCTGAGTTGCAAGTAATGCATTTTTTGCAGCGGTTGGTTGGCAGGACTTCAAAGTAGAAGGTTTGAAACAGTTTTCATATGACACAAAGCTCTGTCCTCCGCTTATACCGTATAATGCTCATCCTCTACCAAATCCTTTAGTTCGCTCCTTTCCAATTCCCTAACCCTACCCATCTTTTCTCCCTGATATCAGATTATCCTCGTTGGTATTGCAATTATTTATCATTATTTGAGTTTAATTTCCATGTAAGAAATGGTTGCAGAAAGGCCAAGCAACACAATCTACACTGCATAAACCCAAACAGAAGGACAGATGGCAATAGATTTACAGATCCCCTCTTTAAAATCTGGTATCCACTTTAATCACATCATTCTGCTCAATCTACCAGTCGGGGGTTCAATCTATTTTCTTGCTAAATGCTGAAATGAAATTGATGAAACATTCTGTACGCGCCAAAGTCATTTCAGTTGCATAGCTGTCATTTCCAGTTTCCATAAGTTGTAAACTTAACTAATCAGTTGTCTCTGCACATCACTGTCAAATTCATATGAGAGTCTATGCAAATGAAGCCAAGTTATATGAAGACTTTCTTGGTGAGAAATACAACTCGGAGCAACTTGATATATTAACAGTAACGTCTGAGCTGGATATCCGTTTTTGTTGCATAGTATGCATATGTTGTAGGAATACAGTATTTATCTTGCAACAACATGTACGTCACAGCATTTTGTGTCGTCCACTTTTGTTCATGAGCACCTTCACAGTACCTGACTCAAAGAGTGTGGTGCATTTCCTATAGCGACTGTTACGGGAGTCCTCTTCGTCCGTGTCATACAGTCGTTCTCTCTCTAGACGGCTGTCAAACAGCTGCTGCAGTGGCTCTCTATCAGCCCAGCGAGATATCACCTTTCCATCCACAAAGGATGAAAACATGGATGTCTCCAGGAACCGGGACAAGAAGCGCAAGTGGTTCGCAGGCTGAACGGAGAGGAAGGAACCCTGAAAAATTGAAAAGTACAAATCATTTCAACTTGGACAGGGAAATAATATTTCTACCAGAATCAAAAGTTTTTTGAAGTTTTATTAGATCTATGAATGGCTCTTTGTGCATTAACATCCTCTGAAGTACCTTGTCAAAGCTGAATGTCCCCTCTCGGTTGCTCAACCACGAGTCCAAATCAAGAGAGCTGTGGATGACAAACTCCTCGTACCTGCCAAACATGGCGGCAAAGCGTCCAGCAAACACCTCCCTCAGCTGAATGTTCAGCTTTGCAGCCTTCAGCTCTTCCTCCTCCTCCTCAAACACGTGTCCCAGCATCTTCTCTCCACCTGACATTTTTCCTCCTCCGCATCTCCGCGCCAGAGCCTGCAGCCTCTCCAGCACCGCCAGCTCCTCGCCTCCAAGGTTCCCGTTCCTTCTGTCCTCCATCAGATCCTCCAGCACCAGACTGCTCAGGCGGGGAGAGGTGGTGGCAGGCTTAGGATTCACACCGCCCTGTGGAGGGAGCCCAAAACGCAGCAGTACCTCACTCAACTCCTGGATTAGCTCAGTCTGGTCTGGAAACACAGGAAGGTCCTCGGGGGTCTCGACACATTGGCTGTCAATGTCCACAAAGCACATATTGGCCTGTGTAGGAGAAAGATACAAACAGGAAAGTTAAAATATGAATAACACCTTTACACTGCCTCCTCCATCAGATAATCATAACAGGTTTAACCAATCACAATACACAGACTCTTATTCATCTCAAGTAGACAAAGTGGATGAGCTCTAACATCCAATTACGATCAGAGATGAAGATTTGCGTTCCATTAAAAGATTCTTGGCATTTCGCCGTGATAAACCCTCAGAGGATATTAGCAAGTGAGGGATTATCTAATGATTACCGTTATCACTGCAACAGGGGAAATTCTGGAAACCAGCAATATCAGGCTTTCACACATGCAAACGCATCAGAAACATGTGCAGAATGAAGCTGCTGAGCAATGAACTACAGAACATTGTGAGAACGATAGGCACTGATTTAAATATAATGCTTCCGTAAGCATTCGTGGAGTCCAGCGCAGTCAGCAGCAACATGACTTTCAACAGTGACCTCCGGCATTCGGTTTACAGCTTCGGGGGAAACTGGGAGATGTACAGTAGAGTGGATAGTTGCAGACATCCTCTTACTCTGTGGAGCTTCATCCTCCAAGTTAATGTCTTCACTTCTTTTCATCTCTTTCATTCAAATAGGAAAATCAGGACAAGATCACATATTTTGAAGGACACAAAAAGATGAGCTTTCAGCTTTTCCCTACATTTAAATATTGAGAAGGAAGTGTAGGTTGTTTTTTGACCACATGAGCCACACTGTGTACCCTTGTCAGCAAAAAAACATTCCAAACCAAACCATACATGTATGATTAAAATACTTCCCACTTCCTTGTAAATTACCACCCATACATCAAATTGCACAACTCAAGAAATAAGCGGTGATCCCTAATTCTCATTAATTATTCAGCAAGTCCCATTATTCTGGATATCTCATGCTCTGCACTTTTGCTTTCATTCCCCGAAGCGGTCTTTCAGCCGCCTCCTTTTTAGGGCAGAGCAACTTCAAAGAGGCTTCAGTGAGATATTCATGCACCATGAAGTGATCTCGGATGCAGGATTTGCTTCGTGAAGGGGGGAGGTGGGGGCACTCTTTGGAAATGTATCGTCTTAGTTCCACAGGCAGAGAGCAAATTGTCACGCATGCAGCACAGTGGGGATCAGCAAATGGCTGAAAGAATGTTCCAGTTTAACAAAACATTTTTACATCCTTTTGTGCGAATGTGAACTGAATTGTCTGCGTCCTGAAATTCCAACTAGCGCGTTCACACAGGAAACTATGGATGCATTTACACACATGGTCCTTGTTTAGGTCTGTACCTCATGTGGCAGGTGGAGGGAGGATCGCTGAGCTCCGTTTCTGCGCTGGATACCAATCAGGAATGGCACAGGGGCATCCAGGAGGTGGTGCAGCGGTGCAGAGACAATGGGCAGGTAGATGTGTTGCCACTGGAATGGGAACAGCAATGTGGTGATGCCCTCTGCCACAGTCATCAAATGCTGGTAGTCTGAGGAGATGAAAAGGAAAAGAAGCTGTTTACATGAGTTGCTTATAGAAATATTTAAATCATGTTCCTGTTTATATGCTACAGATCACAGGCCAATTAATGACTAAAGATGTTTCATACTCATTAAGTTACAGTGTTAGTTTCCTTGCAGTATTTAACCTCAAACCCATCTCTTATGTCGTTACGTGTGTTTGTTAGAAAGAAAATGTTTTGTTTCGTGTGTCTTTTGTTTTTGTGCACCATAGCTTGCACTTGTCTATTTCTATTATTTTGCATTATTTCTATTTATTACATTATCAATGTAATGTTTCCATCCATCCATCCATCATCTTATCCTGGAGCTAATCCCAGCTGACATTGGGCAAAAGGCGGGGTACACCCTGGACAGGTCGCCAGTCCATTACAGGGCCACACATTGACAAACAATCACGCACGCCTAAGAACAATTTAGAGCCACCAATTAACCCAGTCCGCATGTCTTTGGACCCAGAGAGAACCCACGCAGACATGGAGAGAACATTCAAACGACCGGGGTTCGAACCCACGACCTTTTTGCTATGACACAACACCACCGCGCCGCCCAATGTAATGTTTTTTTCAAGTTATTAACAGTATCTTGTTAAGCATAGAAACAGCCGCTTTTCTATGAGAGATGATAAATTCAGCAAAAACACTGACAGAAGTTGATTAAGGTGCTCTTCAATGTACTCACATGTCTTAAAAATGATCTTAATAATCTGTAAATGTTGGCAACATGATGGCATTTTCTTATTTTGAGAACTGTAGTGTGCTTACCATGAGAGCAAAGCAGAACTTGCGTCTCCAGAAGCACACAGGTAAGTAGTTGCACCATATTGTCCACACCCAGCAGGGAGAATGCTTCCCCAAGAGGATACTCCCCCAGCGGAAGCTCGCCCGGCCCTGGCCTCTGGCACACGATGGGTCCCTGCACCCCGTGGAACCTCAGCGACCTGCCAGGAGGAGGCAGGGGCACCTCGTACAGGATGTTATGGATATAGCTCTCCAGAGGGAGGGGTGGGGCTGTGTGTGACACCACAGCCTGATGCAACTGAGACAGAAACTGTCGAGCAGCCTGAAGGAAAGGGAGAGGCGTGAGGAGGCAGAGGGCTTTGGACACATACAGAGTGTCCCGTGCCGGATCGAAGGAGCCTGCACAGCCGACGCAGGCGGAAACCCCCGCCAGAGACTCCGCGTCTGACTCATCCAAGCTGCTCATTAGCGAGTCCATGCTGGAGGTTGAGGGCGAGGAGGCAGATGAAGACGAGGAAGAGGGCGAGGAAGAGGATGAAGCTGAATGGTGCTCCACATGGTGCATCTGGTAGAGAGTCTGCATTGCAGTGACGATCTGAGCACTGGTCACCTCTTCGTAGAAGGTGTGAACAAAGCCGTAGGAGCGAGTACCGTCGTCAAAAGACATCGTAAACGAGTGAAACTGAGTGTCGAGCCTGTCTGCCTGCGTGCGGAAGGAAAGACCCCTCGGCATACAGAGCTGAGGAGAAATGTTGAGGAGGAAAAAGAGGAGAAAACATAAGAGAGGGTTTAGAATAAATGTAAATCTGTAAAAATTTATTTAATGCCAACATTGATCTTCTGAGATGTTTTTGACAGGAATTGAGAAAGTATGAAAATGTATTGTTTTATTGTACACGTACTGCCAAATGTAGTTGCCAATAAACCAATAAAATTAAGTTTTTAAAAATAAGACCATATTTTTGACTGAAATAATAAAAAAAAAAATACTGTGGTGTTTACTGGGAGGCTGCCCACCACAAGTTTTGTTATTTGAACATGAAGTCTAACATTAAAATGTATTGTAACTCTATCTGACTGCTAACAATTCTTTTGAATCTTACAGTTTCATCATCCTGACCTGCCTTTCTAACAGGAACAATGGCCCCTACTACACTTGTTATCCCCAGTGGATTTTGTTATCATGTTCGTTTTTGTCATTTGTAACAACATTCATGTACACTGGTTGGGAGAGCCCTACAAACAAGGCACATCTCGATCTTCCTAATCATTTCCATTGTTGTGAGAGAAAAGACTGAAGGAGAGTGAGATCCGCGATCTCACCATGTTGACAGCATCTTTATTGAAGGGGTTCTTGTCTGTGCTTTCAGGGTAGTGCACCAGAACCTTTGACTTGAAGGACCGTCGGATGGGGCTCTGCTCAAAGCCCTCGCCTGAAAGACAGACAGATGCACAGAAAGAGAGTCACGGCATTATTGTATTTGTACAGAGTGATCTTTGACCTCCGTCACTGCTGAGACAGAATTCATCACAAGATGAAAGGGACCGAACAGAGGACGTCCCGAGATGACAGCAGCTTTGATCTACGAAAAGGCTTGGACGGGACGACCTTGTCTGATACCGGCTCAAAATAAAAAGTTAATCTGATGTCGACAGCTAGGGCCATTCAGCAGCAAAGAGGGAAAAACCCTTCCAGGAGTTATGTAACTCAACTCATTACCATAGAGATGGGTTGGAAAAGCATTAGAGCACCCCTCATCCCTGACACTCTGCAGTAGGAAACTCTCGTAGGGGTGCACAGGATGAAAATATGCTGCTTTTTCAGAGCGCTCAGGGTAAAGGATGCGACATTGCTATATAACAGCTGCGTGTATAAGAAAACTTATACTTATACTATCATATATTTCTACATTCACAACGCACAGATTTGATGCATTGCTCTGTCCGGCTCAAGTTCCCCCTCTTCAGCTTGCACCTTGTGTCACCTTCGAGCTCTCGTTACATACAGAGATACAAATATATATAACTCTGTATATCTATATAACTGTGTGTGTGTGTGTGTAATCGACTGACAGCAGTGAATGAGGAGTGAATGCCCACAAACAGTGCTCTTCTTTAGCTGACATCACTGCGTTACAAGAACAAAAACAACTGCAAATGGCAAACTAACAGTCTTCTCTCAGCTGCTGGCTTTGACGCACTCACTCAGCATTCAGGAACATTCACTTCACCTGCCTACAAGATGACGTATACAGCACCCCAAGAGAGGAAAACTGCGCTGCAGGCAGAGTGAGAAAGGAGAGCCACTTCAAGTTTAACTGAGTCAACTGGTAGGTGGGAGACAGAAGCTAATGCATTACAGCGACGAAAGAGGGGAGTCAATGTTCTTTGCCACGGATACAAATTGGTGTCGGAGCAGAGAGGCAGAATCGCAGACGGACACCTAGTTGCCTTGGTAGCAATTTCTGCTGTGGCCTTGAAGATAGCTATCAAGACAAAGCTTGTGCGCAGTTACGTCACCCCGAGAGTCATCAGCTGACATTCCAGACATGAGTTCCCACCATTCAGACCCCTCTGCGTGTGAACAGAGTCAGAGGGAGGTTTGTTTTAGTGTTTGAATAAAAGCTTAAATGCCAGTTCCAGCTAGGCTGTAATTAACACCTCTTACCACATTAACATACACCCAGTTGAAATCGTGTATGAGCTAATGAGGTGCTGAATACTTTACATTATAAAAAGGGCTGCAACTAATGACTATTTTCTAGATTCATGGATTCATTGTTTGGTCCATAAAATGTCAGAAAGTAGTGACAACTGTCCATCGCAATTTCCTGATATACAAGGTGCTCGCTTTTTCCGACCAGGAATCCAACAACCCAGATACATTCAGTTGACAATCACATAAAACAACAACAAAAAAAACAAAAAAAAAACAGCAAATCCTCACAGCTGAAATGCTGAAACTAGTTAATGTTTGGCATTTCTGTTCAGAAAAACCCCACCTAATTTATTTTTTACTTGATAACCATATAGTTTTCTACTGACTAATCGATTAACTGGCTTTCAGCTGTAATCCTCAGCACATAAAAGTCTCATAATCATTCCACGGTTTAGACATTCATCACAAGGATTTATGGCCCCGAATGGTCCCCCATCCCTAAAACAGGCACGCTTCAGGGATGATTGAACATCCATAAAAAGGTACATCATGAGGACAGATTTACAAAGTGGAAAGAGATTAAAATTACAGCAAGTGTCAGCTGGCACTGACTGATGAGGAGTTATTGCTTTTTTGCTCAAAATATTTTATATCGCAGCGCCTTTGCATTGCAGATTTGTTCGTACACTGAAGGTGAATCATGTGAGAAGGGGGAAAAAAAAGAGACATATTTTGCTTTTCATCTCAGCCTGAGACACAGACGTTGGTGCTGGGCTCATATGCCTAAAATAAAAGGATTAAAGTAAATATAGAGTTCCTAAAACTAAAATAACTCCGAGTGATATTTCTGAATATGCAGCACGTTTGTTAATAGGACAAGTGCAGAAAACACATCTCTTAGCAATCAGTTCGACATTACAAAGCAGCTCTCAAATAATCGGTCAGAGAGTTCTTGCCCTGCGCTGATTTCACCCCCCTGTGACAGTCATCAGGCCTGAACAGGCGCTGAAGCCTCGACCATGCCAACAGGCAACGTCATGTGAAATTTGATTAGGCTGCAGAAAACACAGTGGCATCTATTGAGGAGCCAACAAGAGCAGATTGTTTCCCAGTTGGCATTTACTAATTACACACATACACAATAAATGACACTGTGTGACCTCACACATCCAAACACTTACAAGGCTGGCGAACATGAAACAATACACATCTCTTGCTGGGCTACAGTTTACAGAATATATATATATATATATATATATATATATATATATATATATATATATATATATATATATATATATATATATAGAGAGAGAGAGAGAGAGAGAGAGAGAGAGAGAGAGAGAGAGAGAGAGAGAGAGAGAGAGAGAGAGAGAGAAATCCCTTGAAAGGAGCACAGCTGCAGTGGGTCTGCGATGACCTGCTGTTACATAAGCAGATTGGTGGAGCTCAGATACACTAGCCAGCAGCGCTATCACTCGCCGCAGGGGCAGAGGCATCAAAGTCCCAGACGCTTAGTTAGTTAGAGCAGTAAATAATCTGCAGCAGAGCATGATACAGAGCTCATCCTACATATACGTTTTTCCATCTCTGACATTGGTGCTATTATCCGAAAAACATTTGGCTCTACATGAGCTACATTTACAAAAAAACACTGTTTGCAAACCTGGAAGTGATGTTCAAGGTGCTGGTATTCAGCACACCTGTGCAGCTCTCCCCCCCACCTAACAAAGAGCAGGACACGTGCAGGCGTCACAGGGAGCGACTCTGTCCTCAGTTGAGTGTCAACAGCTCAGAGCGGAGGAAAACAGCACCAACTTATATCGCCATGCCTATCCACCACAAATAAATCATCGCCCACTGCAGCTGTCATCACTGTGGCAACCCCCACATCCACCAACATTACAGCATCCATTTCCTTTCACTTCCTTCCCTTCCCCACCTTTGGCTTTGAGAAAAAGACTGAGGTGTTTTTTTGCTTGGTAGAACAAAAAGAGTCCATCTCTGTTTGAGAGCAGGCAGACGGCATACCAGGCACAACACATGGATTATCACTGCTTTTTAAATTCAAACATCAGTGTAATCTAGGAGCTCGTTCTCACACACAGGCCTGTGTTAACCATGGACCACTGCTAGGATGCTCCACCTGTTTCCCAGCTTTATTGGGCAGGAAAGGATGCTGATGTCCTCCCTCTCTTCAAGCCTTCCTATGCTCCTGAACCAGGTGTAGCAGTGTATGACTTGCAGAAACCAACAAAGCTATATTCTCAGCGGATTTCCAATGTGATCAAAACACAACCAACATAACTGTAATGCATTTCCCTAAAAACAAAAGCACAATACTACAGGGTGACACAGTATAATTGCCATTTTAAATTCAACCGGATTGCTTCAAGTTCATAGTAACATGACCTATGATATCAACATTAGGCCTATATGTTCAGAAATAAAAACAGAAATCCTGTCAAATAGAGAAAAACTTATGATGGAATTTATTTATTTTTATTTTAATGGCTATAATATATGCTATTCTACGCAGATTTTATGTTGTCAACAACGCCTTGGAAGGAAGAGGAATGTGGCGTCCAATCAACATATTTAAATGGCTGCTGTCACCCCGACACACACATATACGCCGACCTGAAATGGTAAATGTTTTACATAAAGCATGATATGATGAAACATACGCCCGGGTGTGTGTTTTCTTTTTGTAGCGTGCCTTTGTTTCGTTCGTGTTTATAAGACCAACTACCTGCTCCATCGTCCGGTTCCAGGCCCGTCTCCGTGTCCACTCCACACACAGCAAAATAGTGGGCGAAACGGCAGGAAGCCGATCCCGTGGCCACAGCGGTCCCGTTCATCCTCGACGCGTTTATGGTGTGACAGCTCCTACTTCTACTTAACGTTGTGGATGTTCATAGCTGATGCGGCTAATCACCCGAAATGCTTTTGCTACCCCCTCCCCAGATCCGCGCGCTGGAGTTGTGGTCGCCTGCCTGCACTCACTGATCCGCCGTGTGACTCTGAGGGAGCATAGGATGATCCAGAGATGGTCATCTAGTTTGCTCAGAGGGGGGAGGAGGCTGTAGGCGAAGGCTAGAGGGAGGGAGGGAGGAGGAGACAAAGACCTGAACGCATCATCATCATCAGCCAGCCTCATTGTAAGGGTGTTGTCAAAATTTATCATCTGCGCCACACGTCACAAAAATCACCATTTGTCAAAGGGACATCGTTTAAATTTTAATATAGCCTAACTAAACTAAGGTTACAAAGCAAAGTTATTTGTATTTCAGAACATTTAATAAACATTGGACTAAAAACACTACAGTTTGATTTGAGGTTTGAGGCTGATCAGACAAAAGGGATTTTCTGTCTTAAGATGACAGAAAATAGCATGTAACTGTTTTGGGTGCTTTCACTTTCTGAGCGGAAACCCTATATAGGCCTACAATAATTGCAAGAAAGAAATAATTCTCCACTCAACCTACCTTGTATGAAATGAGGCTAAGAAGTAATATTGATTAAATTGGGCTCAAAAAATAATATTGATTCATTAGTAAATATTGATATGGTTACTTAAAAATTTAGCTTCTATACTGGGGTGTAGGACTGGGGGGACAAAGGTCCTCATGTGAGGAGGGCCCACAAAGATGGTAGAATGACTAACCATGCATGCAGGGAGGGGCCCATAGTCCAGGATTTTGTGCTACGCCCCTGCACTAATACAATATCATACTTGGGACTTAGGGACATGTCCATACCATACTAAATTCTATGCCCTTGTACAAACACAAATTAAAGTGCAATCACAAATTTAAAAACATTAAGGGAAATTCAGCAAAAATCATTAAAATATAAATTCAGACATTAGAAATAAGTTTAGAGGTAAAAAAACACAGAAATGAATAACCAGGTAAAAATGATAAGAGTGCAAGGTGCAAGATGATACAGTTAGGGTTATGGTTAAGGTTAAAGGGGCACTCCACCAGTTTCACACATGAAGGTCAGTTTACTCATCATGAGAGCACTGCTCAGCCTGGGAAAACTGTTGTATACTGTAATGTCTTTTGCGGATCTGGAGGGAGCAAAATCATATTTGGCTTGAGACCTCAGTGTGTTTTTTACAGGAAGCCTGCATTCCCGGGGAATTCCTAATAAAATACACATGGAGCTGCATTATAGGAAATATAGGATCCAGTGTTTTTGGAGATTGACCCACCCTAGGATATCTCAGCTCCTGCTGCTTCGATTTTGACCACATCTTTTAAATGTCTCTTGAATCCTCCAGCTTTATCGAGGACCAACACTAAATTGCTGGAGTATCACTTTGAGGTTCAGTCAAAGGTGGTTGAGAACATAAAGATTTCAACCTGGATAAGTCAGGGCAAGTCTCATTTGTTCCAACTCTGGTGCACAGTAACCTCTATGAACTAAATGTTGCGTCTCAACGATTGCTTTGGACGAAAAGTTAAGAGACCCCTACAAGATGACCCGAGAGGCTGTGGAGAAATATATCAGAAATATATTTTGGTCGAAGTCCATTGAAAGATTTCACTACATCTTGGTGCACTGATAAATCATCTTGTTGCTGCTGTTTATTCTCCCCAGACAAAAATTTTAAAAATGCATACAAGCTTTGTATGTAAATAACTGCATATAGCCTATTGTTTTATTTTATTTTAATGTTACCATATTTTAATACACATTTAATTATCTGTTAAGTTCTGCATGTGCAGCATGAAGGGACTACTGTCATGAACCCTGCATCTCTCACCTGAGTTTGGGACTGAGAGAGTGTGTTTTGATTTGTTTTTTTCCTTTGGGTGAGTGAGGCATGCTTAGCGTGTTCTCTCAGTTTTTTGAATCCTGGGTGTGTCTGGGTTCCTGAGTTGGCACTTGCTGCACCTGCTGGTAATCACGTACCTGTTCCTGATCAGCCATCCCTACTGTCCCACCCTCTGGATAGACCAGACTTCCATTCCCTGCCGGATTGTTAAGTCGCGAACCGTACGTCCTACCTTAGCATCTAGCTTTAAGCCTGTTAATCTAGCAACCAGTTTGCTTTTACTAACTTCTCTCTGCCTGTCTCCAGAGCACCTGCTCTGCCAGTTCCAATTCCCTCAAAGCTGAGATCCAAACTTTCCAGCCACGCCAGCCAGCCCTCATGCTCCACTGCTTGGAAGAGACTCCCTATCACCTCACCCTGCCTCAGTCAATAAACTGTTTAACTGCTGCTTTGTCTCTGTGTCTGAATCTGGGTTCTAGCATAACTCCTGACAACTACAAATGTTATACAACCTTGTAATTATAGAAAAGCAACAGTATGTAAAATCTATGAATTAAATACACTGAGTTACATCTCTAGCGGCAGCACTGTGAATGAGATGAAGATGAAAATCCTTTCTTCTCTACATTATACCTGGACAGGAATCATCTGATTGTTGCAATGTTTTTAAGATGGTATATGCAGATTTTGTTATTGAAAAAGCCAAAAGGCAGATCTAAACGCATAGCCTACCATCTGACAAATTCAGTAAAATGTTCCTAGCTTAATATATTTGAGTAAACAGGAGAAATAAGGACGTGGACATCCATAATATGTCATATAGGGTATTTATTGAACCATTCAAACAGACATAACAAACATATTTCTCATTTTATAGGCAAAATGCTAACAAACTTCATTAAATAAATATGATAATCTAGGAAATCAGCCTCCTGCTGTATATGTTCTGATAAACCCTATTGCCTGAGAGATAATTAGGATTTGGGTTCAATAAAGTCAGTGTCCAAACATCAAAAAAGTGCAGCATTTCTTTACACCTGGACTGGCTCATGCCATAAAATCCTTGCATTAAAAATCATATTCCAAGATAATTGTCACATTTTCCATGCAAATTGGAGGTATGCAACTACACCCATCCTCCGCTCTGTAAATATTAACAAGTCAGCAGATGGGTCCACAGCTCCAGTCCTCCAGTTACACAACATGAGGATCTGTCACTTATAGCCTGTCTAATTACAGTAAGTGCATAACTTAACATAACAAGGCTTGAATTTAACATTCAATCACTGTTGTAATACAGTAAACATTTATGCATAAAATGTTATAGAAATAGCCTGCAGCAGTTATGGCTATTATCATTGCTGTTATTATTATTACAGACTGCTTTGTCCATGGTCAACCCCTTCTCCATTTATTTTCAAACTGCATATCTGCACGATATTTGTGGTGGTTGAAACAATCGCAGACCAGACATCCTTTTCCCTCTGCAACTTCCTCCAGCTCCTCCCTGGGGGGGTTTGCAGGCGTTGCTAAGCCAGCAGAGAGATGCAACACCACCAGTACATCCTGAATCAGCCCTGAAATTTTCTTCCAGGCAGCTGTGGTTGGTGAAATTTCAAAAGTCAAAGTTTACCCAGGTTGCATCCTCACCAGATGTCTCAACCACCTCAACTAGCTCTTCGTAACGGTGGGGAGGCAGTGTTTTAACTCCAAGGTCTTCCACATACATTAAACTTCTCACACTGTCACCGAATGTGAGGTCAACCTCACATTTGCCCTTCCAAAGTTGTGATTCACTAATTATCATATTAAACACATAGATAAAATATCGTGCTTCCATTGGACATAGACCCTGATCTTTAAATCCAACATGTTGCTAAATTAGAAAGGACTGGAGCTGCAGTACATCCATTCATTCGTGTCTCCAAGGCATGCTAAGGTGTGCGGCAGCTCTCCATCTCAGTGTCTCTCTGAACCACCGACGGGTAAGTAAGTTGGGTCATGCTGCGCAGGTCGTTCTGACACATTCTCTAGAAAATGTTTGGCAGTGGATTTGGGTTCAGAAATTTCACCTGGAACACGTCTTCAGAGAAAGTAGGTGATGTTCTCAGAAGGAAGGGCACTGTGGATCTTTGAAGGAAAACAGTCTCTGGCAATGAGAAGAAAACTCTTGCTGGCAGGAAAGCCAGCAAGAGTAGCAAGAGTGTAGCGGTGTGGCCTGTTTTTACACTCTACTGAACGAATGGTTGCTTCCTGCTCACTCATTGCTCATCAGTTAATTGTAGTGTAAGAAACTGGAAATCAGGGCAGTGTGGCGTGGAATGGAGCATTTAATTATGTGTGGTAATAATATTGATCTAGGGAATACAAGTATAGAGAGCGTGGGGGTGTAGGCTACGCAGCCTGCCCTTGTCAACACATTTTTAATAGAACGGGAAGGGGAGAGATTGGTGGCTTTGGCAAAGTGAATGGAAGCAAAAGCTGTGCATGGATCAAGAGTGCAGATAGGGAGGACTATGTCAAGATTCGAGCCACCTGGACCTGAATCTCCGCATCGGGGTGTGAAAGCAGCTGGACCAGTCTGCTGTGGAGCTGGGACGACTCATCTAACATGACCCGGAAGAGGCAATCCTGCTTCCGCCTCAGTTCATCGGCCACCTGGGCAGAGGGCCTCCAGGCCTTTAAGTTTCCTGCAAACGTCAGCAGTCGCAGAAGCACCGCAGGGGCTGTTCGTGCGTCAAAGAGCACCACAACAGAAGCTGGTGCCTGTTGGAAAAAGCAGGGGGGAAAAACAACCCAAATCGCAATGAAACTTGGACCGTTGTCACAACTGTTCGACAACAAAAACAAAAATGTTGATGACCTCTTAGCACAGAGCCACACTAATTAACTTGCTATGTATCATATAAAAACATGACTCAGCGAGTATGATCAGATAAATACTGCATTTTCATTCCTTTATTCCTACCTGAGCTTGAACAATGTCATCCATTATATCCGGATTAGATGACAAATTCACAAGGACTTTCAAAGCCTGAACCTGAAACACATATATTAGAAGCGCTTAATGCATTCATACAGCATTCACAGCTCTACCGGACTTATCTATTTTACTACAAGAGGTCCAACTTTTCAAATGTTTCTGGTATCAGGGCCTTCTAATCACCATACAAAAATTGTTTAAATAAATATCGTAGCTTTCGACAACTGATTAATGATCATCCACGTGCCACCTGAAAAGATACCAACCTGTAATGCTTCATTGCTCACGACAAGTAGAGAGAGTAAGAGTGTAATCGATTCCTTCAGCAGGTGTTGATGTTTATCTGTGACTGAAAGGTTTGTCAGCAGCCTGAGAGCTCCAAGCTGAAGGTCAGAATTCACGGGTGACATCTCAATCAGCTCTAGCACTTGTGGCACATAAACCTATAAGACAAGATGAATGTGGTTTCTTACCCCCAAGATTTACACGAATAAAAAGATCTCAAACTCAGCGGCAGATGACTCTTTGCTGTACAGTCTACGGCAACATACCTTTATTTGTTCCTGGTTCTGGATGTTCATAGACAGATTATTTAAAGCATTCAGAGTCTGCACTCTGACCTTTGCCTCAGGATCAGAAAGGAAGCCAGCTATGATATGAATCCCTTCAAATTCCCGTATTAGATTCTGGGGGATCAGTGAAAAACAAATAAAAAAAAAACTACATTACCTTTCTGAAAAGAGATGTATAAAAATGTATATATCCAAGTTTGAGTGGGATCACTGATTAACAGGTGCATAACTTTAAATTTTACAATAAAGCAGCCAGTACTAACCTCACTTCCACAAGATTTCAGAGAAAGTATACGTTTACTTTACCTGATTCACAGTGAACGCAGCAGCATTTCCTAACGTAAGTAGGATCCGACACCTGTCAGATGGATTATTGCTGGTCTGCAGACAAGACAACAGCATATTCAAGTGTTGTGGTTCCAGGTTGCCAGGGGACTGGTGGACGATGTCACCTATGGAGCAAAATAAGCCATTTAACCAAAACTTAAATGTTGTGTTTTTTTTCACAGGAGAAGACTCACATTATTTTTTTTTAATCAAAATCTTTATATCAATCCTCACCATATTTAGGGAATGACTGGTTGATTTAAGAAAGTGTTTAGACACAGGACATTTTAAGAAATGATCTTGAAAAATTTGCTTTGCTGGAACAATCGCATAGGTTTAGATGTAGTTTCTGCGAGTATTAGTAAGTAAGTAAACTTTATTTATATATTAGCACCTTTCACCTACAAGAGGGGTCACAAAGTGCTTTAAAGTAAAAATTTAACTAAAAACAAAAAAATAACAACAGTACATATGCCATAGAATGCCACAGAAATCTGAAGAATACATATTTCTTCAAATTACAATAAAATACCCCAAAGAATATGAGGAAAGCAAAATTTTATTGCTTTTAGCTTGTCTAAAAAGATGTGTCTTTAGGTGTTTTCTAAAGGTTTCCACAGAATCCAGGCTCTCAAGGCTAAAGGGAGACCAATCCTTAACCTTGGAGCTGCTACGCAGAAAGCGCAATCACCTCTTGTCTTAAAACGTGTTTTGGGGACAGTAAAAAGGTCTTGGCTTGAAGACCTCAGTGAGCGACTAGAGGTGTGTGCATGTAATAAATCCTATATAAGGGATGTAAGAGGGAGCTTGACCATGAAAGCTCTGTAAGTAATGATTACAATTTTAAAATGCACTGTAAACAACAATCGAAAGCCATTGCAGGGCCTTAAGCACAGGAGTAATGTGTGATCTCCTGCTGATCTTAGTCAAAAGTCTTGCAGCTGCATTTTGTACAACTTGTAGTTGGTCCATAGAAGATTTGTTCAAATAAGTGTACAGTACATTGCAATAATCTAAACGTGATGAAATAAATCTTTTTTTAGAAACCACAGATCTAATCTTAGGAATGTTCCTGAGATTGCAAAAACAACAGGAACAAAGCACAGATTTAACATTTCTTATTAAAATTAATACATTGGTCAAAATTGATTTCTTATATCGCCGCACTCAGAGGATCATAGGACCCTATTGGCCTGCATGACCTCAGGGGTAATGTTGTCAAAAAAAACAAAAAAATCCCCTCAGTTTAGTAACTTTCTGAGCTCCATGGTTCTTACCTGATGCAATATCAGGTCGTGGACAAACAACATCCAGTCCAGACACTTTGGCCAGCAGGCTCCCCGGCTGTAGAGTGCCTTCACTGGGCTGACTGCTCCTGACACCGAGACTTTCATTGATGGCACTTTTCTTATTTCTCCTGAAGCCTCCCCCGCTGATAAGTTTGTATATCCCATAGGAGGCTCCTGCTCCGGCAACTATTCCAAGTAACGCTTTCATGTTGCCGAGCCTGGGAGTAATACTGCCATCACCCATGCTGCTATTGTATGTCCTTAGCTATGTCCGCTAGCTAGCTAGCTACCGTTGGGCTACAGATGCTCTGAAACGTTGTGAGTCAAATCTGTGGACTCACCAGTTAACTAACCCGGCCCCTTAGTCAGCTAGCACCGACGACAACCCATCAACACCAATACAAAGCCCACCCAAACAACTGTTGACAGATTCATTGTTGTGAAACCTGGAGAAGTTTGCTGACAAGCTACAGTTGTCAACAATGTTGTGCTGGTTGTGCTCCGATGTTCCGGGCAGCCATTGTTGCCAGGTTGGACTGACAAAAAGTAACCCAATCAGAGCCCAGGCCCCGTCCAGTTGGCATAAATGTTGCCCAAGTTCTAACAGTAACATGGATGGACATGGATATAATATACCATAACTTATATTCGAGTAAGAAGAAAATTGATGAGTTCTGTCGTGTTCTGTTTTATCAGTATCATGAGGCAAACTCAAAACCACGGTTAAAATAACGTTAATGATGACACATTATCATTTATAAGTCATAAATAACAAACGTCTTTTAGTTAATGTTACATAAAATGTTTTGTCCCATATGAACGGATACAAGCTTTTACGCGTTTTTTCTCATAGACCCCAATAATAATAGTTGGAAAAGGGAAAAGGTTACTTAGCTGTATTAAACAATTAAATTACATTTGGTCTGGGCAAAAATCAGTTATTGCATGTCAAACGCAAAACTCCCCAATCTGGCAACGCGACAGACAGCTATGAGTGGCCGACCAAATCTTTCCCTGGGTGATTATCAAAGCGTTTCAAGATTTATACAGAATCTTAACTTTTAATGTATAATTGGAACACATTTTAAACACTGTTAACATGTGCAATATTGTTAACTTAAAAGCCAGGTCCGTCACACCGTTGACTTTGTACACACTCTTGGTGCAGCGCAGTAGTTGTCCGACACTTAACGTTAGTTAGGTTTTACTTGCTTCGTTACCTGGCGACGTTGAAATTACAAATGGTGATGGGAAAATCTACCGGGCAATAAATGGTAATTTAATTAGCATTAGATAGTGGATACTCCATATTTCGCTATCTATTTGACTTTGCAAATGTTTCAAAGACAAGATATGGCTGTAGCAAACGCAAAGCCTGTTCTGAAAAAATGCAAATTGAAATACTGCCACATACAAATATATAAGGTAAGTTTTTTTTGTGTAGAAATTAAGTTATGTAAGGCTAACTTAGCGTTACATGTAAAGTTACAGAAATCACGAGTTCTTCAGTAGTTAATACACATTTAGGTTACTTTATTTGATTATTGCTTATTCACTAGACTATTATCACCACTTGAAAACTTTTTCCTGAATGTGAAAAATAATTTCTGTCTTTATTTCACAATAGGCCTTATTGACAGCTTCATGCCTGTCATGTCCCAATGACCCAATACAGTTTCTGAAAAACACTCTCAAGGCTTTCCAGGGACATGATAATCTTCAGGATGTTGACTGGTAGGTAGACCTCCTTTCTTGTGTCTTTCCTTGAGACAGACACTTGGTGGCTCACTTTCTCAAGTTTTATTTTACTGCTGTGTGAGTGGAAGTCATGTTAGGCTACATAATGTGGAGGAGTGAAGATTAAAAATCCATGTCAAAGAAAACCCTTTCCCCCCTCCACATTCCAACTGTGGACCTTAAAATAAAAGTCACTGAAAAGGGCAGCTTGAATTTAACAAAGTAAACTGAAAAGTGTTGTTTGTAAATAGTATTTCTATCACTATGCATGTCCAATTACATAATGTGCTCCTCTAGTTACATTGCCATTCATTGTTCATTTTCTCACATTAACAGATTTTTAGGTGTCCCTTTAAGTACATAAAACAATAATCAAGTACAGTACATAGATTTTCTAGAAGTGACTTTGAAAAGCAACACCCCCAGGGATCCTAAGCACCAGTGTACTCGGGACTAACATTACAGCCATAATTAATTTTTTGATAGTATCTCTGATGTAAAATATATCGTCTTTGTCAACTTGGATGTATTCATCTTATTATTTATTCATACTATTAAGTAGCATAATGGTTCTGTTAAATCTGTCTGAGTGCCAAATCATTCAAAGATTTGTTTTGATTTTAACTTTCTTTCTTTTCTATTCTTTTTTGAGGCACGAGTTTATTGCTCATGTAGAAGAGCGTACTGCAACAACCTCTCTGACACATAGGACTGTGGACACGGTCTATATGGACCCAGATGACACCATGGTACAGTATGGTTTAGTAGTATACATACCATTAAAAGTCAGGTTAAATCCCAGATTTGTTAGACATATCGTTCAGACTCAAATGAAATTAGCTTTAGTGCTATTATATTAATCGCTGTTCCATATACTTTTCTAGCGGTCCTTTTGTCTGTTCGAGAAGGTCTACTCCCATTACAGGAAGCATTTAACAAGCTCTTGCTTCAGGTAGGCCTGCAGTATTGCTGTCACAATCAACAAATCAGGATTTGATTAACTGAAAAGGGAGAAAGGGCAAAAGCTCCATCACCACTTGGGTAGTTAGTGTTTTTCTCGGCCTGCTTGACTAAAGTGTCGCCTAACAAACACTTTTCGCTAAACAAGATTTAAGTTAAAGACAATATTTCTTTGCCATAATCGTACATGGTTCTAAGAAAAATCAAATTGTGCGTGAGTCAGCAGCTTTTCAGTGGAGCTGTTTTCTTACTGAAGTCTCAAGCTCTAGCTCTGCACGAAAACCGGTCGGCAAAGTGATGTTTAGGCATAAATGGTCTCTAGATTTTTGGTATATGCATATTTGCCTCCAATGCAATCCCACACCTTTAAAACAGCCTTGTTTACCTCAATACCTTAAGTTCAATTGACTATCAAAAGTTTCTTACTGAAACATCTGGCCACTGCTGTCTTTGAATCTGTATAATTCATTCAGGATCTCAATTACATAAATCATGTCTCTGGAACTGTATGAGAGTTTGAGATGTGAGAAATGTTTTTAGTTATACTATTCTAATTAATCATAAACTTAAACACTTCATATTCGCAGGCAAAATATTCTAAAGTTTTTCATACCATTTTATCTCTCACTGGGAATAGTGTTGATTCTCCTTTGCGGTTCTTTAAATCCTTTAACATTGTGGGATACAGTGTTTCTGTATCTATGTTGCCTTGGATACCATTGGAGTTTACCAGTTTTGCATTCATCCAGCTGATATGATGTATAACTGGTCTTGGATAGAAACACTTTGCCCCTTACATAGCTGTTTCTGGACTTCACAACATATGTGTTTACAGATGGTGGTGACTTATGGGGGTCTGTTTGAGGAGGAAGCCTTTCTGTGTTGCCACCATTTCTCTGAAAGACACCACTTAAAGTGGTACCAGAAAGTTTGGATGCAGACAGCGGTTTAGGAGGCCAGTAGGCCAAGTTTCTTGTCTGGAAGTTCGCTTGTCTGGAGGTGTGTAATAGGCCAGCTCTTGCTGCACCCATATAGCCACCATTTAGAGAAATGTCTCATCTTTGTGGGGTAGAAAATGAGCATTGGGGGTTTCTGGCATTAGATATATCACCAGTTGTAAACCTATCAGAGATTATATTGTTGAATCTAAAGTTCCTGGACATGTCTAAATGGCCAACTAATCCTGATAAGGTTTTCTCTGCTGCTGAGGTTGAAGCCAAGTTAGTTAGAGAGTGGCCTGAGATGAGATGCCACTCTGGGTGTAATCTAAGCCACTAGAAATGGGAATCAGGGTACTCTCAGTCATTTGCTTTGGTTCCTGAATGGCAGAGACTAGATTCTGCTCAGAGGGTGTCTGATTTCTCCTCACCTTTGTAACACTGACTCTGTGGTCTCCAAGATAGCCGTCATGTCTGCTTCAGCCATAAAGAGAGCTGGAAGGTTTCACAGAAAACACCAAATGGAATCTGACTGGCTACTTTGTGTTGAAAGCTTGCTACCCAGCATCATGTGGGCTGCTTGTTTGAACTTCCACCTGACCACTACTACTCTGTGGTGAAAGGTTTTCAGAGCTAGAAGAAACCGAACCACTAAATAGTGGCAGGTGGACGTTGGGAGTGTAGTTGATGACCTTTGATTGATATACCAGAAATACGCTTGGTTGTGCCAGGTTCTCCCTCAATATTTTCAGCATTCAAATCCGTCTTGTTTTCCATTATTTCCTGTGCGGTTTGAAAAATTTTACTCAATTTCTCAAACTGGCATAAAAAAGGAGCTTTTCATTTGTTTCTATAAACTGTTTGAAATCTTTGATTGTTGGGAAACCGATGCCCTCCATAGTTTTTGGTTGTGTGTGCTTCCTTGTTAAAAAGGCCAAAGGGATGTTGATAATCAGAACTTTCATGCTCATGCCACAAAAACTTATGTGGTTCATGTCCGAGTCTGGTTTGCTTTGCACCTCTTCACTGAGGCTAGTTACAGAGCTAGCATCCTCGTTGTTTTCACGGTGGCCTGGTTCTCTCTGAGGGGAAACAAAGCTCTGATGTCTCAAAGCGTGCATCTCATCCCTTGGACTAACAGAGACATGGTTTGTGTTTAAAGATGCTCCAGAATGAAACTGGTTTGAAGTTTGTGGACCACCTGCATGGCTACTGAATTAATCATCCGCAAGAGAGTAGCCATGTGCAATTTTGCATCCTATCAGGGAATAAACCAACATTACATTTAATTCATATGGTTGAATGTGGTTGGGAATAATACAGAAATTCTTACCTTTTTGAGAAGGAAAACATATGCAGCCCCTTAACAACAGAGTGCAAAGCTAATAAACCATAGAAAACAGTAAAGTCAGAAAGTAAAAACGTAACAATCCAGATTTATCCAAAGAATACACCTACAAAGTATTTTATTTACCCAAAAGGAAGCTCCATGGCAGCGAATTTAATCACGGCATCCACCGCCAGCAACAACAGCAGCAGCAGCTGACTGCTGATTAAAACAACCAGCCCAAATAACAATCAGTCGTCCTCTGTCCTTTCTTTAAGATTTTCAGAATCTGTTTACACTGATTGCAATTAGGTGATTGCAGACAGTTGGTGCTGTGTGAAAATCAACCTAATTAAACAAGCACAGGTGGAGCATTTATTCACAGGGCTGCGTGGTGATGGCTTAAATATCACTGTCCAGCATTCCAGAAATTCATCTGGAAGATGATAACAAATCTGGTCATCTGCCTTTTTCTTCATGTCTTTTTGTAAATCCTTATGTTTGTAAATATGCAGGACACGTACATTGTACAACTAAACTCACACAAAAAGTTAAAGCCCCTGAAATAGATCCACAAAACTATTAATAAAACATCCGTAGTAGCAGGACAGAGTGACTCAGATGTAACTCTAAGCTGGAATTTGACCCGTGTGAATAAAAGTCCTGAAGGTTTTCTCTGGATCATTGTTAACAAGTTGCCAAGTTTAGGAGGATATTCTATTTCACCGATTGCCTTTCACTTGTCCTTTGTCAGTGTAGACTTCTGCGTTATTGGCCTTTTGTCCAGTCAATCAATTAAATTATTTCAGTGAAAACATTCAGTGTGGCCAAAAAATGTGTCCAAACTGAAAGTCTTTCAGACAATAATTTCTTCCCCACAGTATACACCCAGTTGTGACTCATTTTGTCCCACGTACCTTTCACTCAAACTCTGAGATTTCACTCTACTTTTACCAGCTAAATTTGTCTTTGGATTCAGTACAGTCCAACTTGTGATTATAATATTGTTGCTATAATTTAGCTTACATGTTATCCTCTGCTTAAAAGAAGCAAACACTTGTTCTGTTAAAATGTAATGAACATTTGAACCCACATTTACATGTCTTTTTAACTTAGTTGGCATTGGTAAACTTGAGAGACTTGTAAATGCCGGCCACCTTAAGCGCACTGACTCGTGTCCTGTTGAGTTGGTGCAGGTTTCTGACAGCCTGGGTACCTTTCCACTGAATTAATGATGAGCTGTGTTTGCTGCTGGGGACAGGAATTGGAAGAGGTTCACGACACAGAGTAAGAGAGGTACCATAGAGCTGGCTCTGAAGATGGACATGACAAAGAAGCATTATGAGAGGAAATGCCAACGGGTTGCATTCACCAAATGGTCAAACTGGGTAAAATTACACAAGAAGACACAGGCTGGTAGGTGATTACTAAGTATTTCAGAATGAAAAAGTAATCAAGACTTAAGCAAGATGTCTATGAAGATTCTCAGTCATCCAGGTCATAGTTATCCAACGAAGGTTAAAATCAAGGGCAACTGGACTTGGTTGAAGATACTGGAAGACGTTTCGTCCCTCATCCAAAGGACTTCTTCAGTTCTGACTGACTGGCAGGGAAAATCAGCTATTTAACCTCAGTGGGCTCGTTGGCCCGGGTCATCGATACCGCTGGTTCGTTAGTGTTCCTTGTTGCTGTGACGACAGTCGTTACAGTCGTTAAGACTACCTGTGGCCAAGACTGAACGACCATCGTTGGTATCTTCACCTGAGGCCAATAGGTTACGTTTGTTGAGTTTCCTGGGAAGTGATGAAAGGACAGCATTGTAAGTGGGGGATAAGTGGTGGCGTAGACCCTCTCCTCTGTTCAATGACGGCTTCAATGACTGCACCTGGTGGTCCTCAAACGAGTGTCCTCTGTCCTTCAGATGTAAGTAGACTGCAGCATCTACACCAGGGTCGAGAAGCCGTCATTGAACAGAGGAGGGGGTCTACGCCACCACTTATCCCCCACTTACAATGCTGTCCTTTCATCACTTCCCAGGAAACTCAACAAACGTAACCTATTGGCCTCAGGTGAAGATACCAACGATGGTCGTTCAGTCTTGGCCACAGGTAGTCTTAACGACTGTAACGACTGTCGTCACAGCAACAAGGAACACTAACGAACCAGCGGTATCGATGACCCGGGCCAACGAGCCCACTGAGGTTAAATAGCTGATTTTCCCTGCCAGTCAGTCAGAACTGAAGAAGTCCTTTGGATGAGGGACGAAACGTCTTCCAGTATCTTCAACCAAGTCCAGTTGCCCTTGATTTTAACCTTCGTTGGATAATCAAGACTTAGTTTTGGCTTAACTAATGTGGATAGACTGTTTTTGCAAGCTGTGGCTCTTGTGTGTAGCCAGAGAAAACATGCAGTGTGGTTAAGAAATGTGTCCAAACTGAAAGTCTTTCCTGACAGTCATTTCTTCCCCACAGTATACACCCAGTTGTGTGACTCGTTTTGTCCCCCATACATTTCACTCTTAAACTCTGAGACTTGACTCTCTCTTGACTTTACAAGCTAAATTTGTCTTTGGATTCAGTACAGTCCAACTTTGTGATTATAATATTGTTGCCATAATTTAGTCTGCATGTTATCCTCTGCTTAAAAGAAGCAAATACTTGTTCTATTAAAAAGTAATGGACATTTGTAACAATATTTACATTTCTTTTGTTTTTTTAGTTGCCATCGAGAAACTTGAGAGACTTGTAAATGCCAGCCACCTTAAGCGCATCATAGCTGTATGGCGTAATGTTGCAAAGGATTCAAGGAGGACAAAAGAGTACTTTAAGGTATACATTTAATGGAAATTTTAGTAAAAACTAAGTAGAATGAATTCTAGTAATGTTCTACATTTCTTGTGTGTGTGTTTGTACAAATCTTGCAGAGGTTTGAAATGAGGTTTATTGAAATCGGCAACAAAGTCCACCAGATTGGGGAAAAATGTGACGGACTCTCAGTGCTTCCTAGCAGCCTCTCACTGAAGGTAGTGCCTCTTAAACTTCTTTAAGTAATTACGCCAAGTACTTAGTTAAATTATTTTTGTGCAACACAAGCTGTGATTTAGCCCCAAAAGTAGTAAGTAACATATATTTAAAACAAAGGTATTCTACAACACATCATGTCTTTAATATCATCTTTAACTCTCACAAATCAGAAGCCTAAAGGCTACTAATAAGAAAGATTGCACTTCTTTGCACTGGGCGAAGGCAGAGAGGGCTGGTTCATATATAACAGTGATGCAGACGCTCATTTGTCAAGGAGGCACGAGCATTTGTTTTTATGGTGTTCATGTGAGAGAAGCTGGATAATAATAATGCATGTTTGTGACTGGCTGTTACTGACAGCACAGAAGCGCTCTTCTGGTTTGAAGGATTTTTATTGTGGCAATTTTCTCTGTTATTCGTGTGATTTTTTTTTTCTTCAGGTTTTCCATTATATTTCTAAATAGAACTGATCCACCAGTTGAATAGGCCTGCTGTAGCAGCTTCACTTATCTCTTCTATAAGCAGTCAGGGATGAGATCATATCTGTTACATAAGACTTAAAGTGGACTCTAATGTAAACATTCATTCAATCTCTTTGAGGCCTGTTGATTAATGTCATTATGTTCTAGTGTACCTTTTACCCATTACCACAGAAAGCGTTTATGTTTATGGGACCAGTCTTATAAGATCTGTTGCTGTTTTGTGTTTTTTTGGGTATCGATTATAATTTTTTTGTAGGCCTTATATAATTATTATTTCATACCAGTGGCTCTGTAGTTTATAAATATGCTAAACACTCCCATAAACATCTTTCTGACTCAGCTTGAACTGTCCATTTGAAGCCCCAGTTTGTTTTAGATTCACATTCGCTGGCAAAGGGAGTGCAGTTTGGCTTTAGTTGGTCGGGTGTTTCTGTCCCACACCTCTCCCGATAAATAGAGCTTCTTCAACATGACTATGTTTGGTTAAAATAAAGAGACTGCTTGTACTCTTACATCCCAGCGCCTTGCAAAGTGGCCGCGGCAGAGGAGTCAGTGAATCCAGAGTGACAGCTGGTTATGTCAGATCAAAACCTAGAGGAGCAAATATTGATCAAGTTGCTATAATCTGTGGTTTAGTTCCTCATAACATTTGGCAAAGAGAAAGGTGTGCTTAAGTATTTAAACTTTTATATGTAAGCCATCGAAATATGTTGCACCAACACTTAAATGTTTAAAAATGTATTAATCTTACTTTCCCCCTTTCACTATTTATACCTTATGACAAAAACATTATGGAAGAATGCATAAAATGTTGTGGAAAAAATTAATACCATAAACAAATCAGGTATTTGTCAAATAAATAGAGAGGAAATTCTAATGTTCCTGAATAATCAAAAACGTCATGATTGTTTTCTCTGCAGATCTTTCAGTACTTAGAATTGCGAGACTGGCTAAATTGTGCTGAGGTATGTTGCACATGGAAAGGTATCATCCAGTCTGGCCCATTGTGGAGTCAGGTCTGTACTGAGAGATTGCTTCTTGTATTTAATTCGTGGTAAGTTATATTGTAACAGGAGTATAATGTTCCCTAATGTGTGTCCCTGTTAGATCAACTTCTCTGTGGAGAAAGACTGGATAATAGACAGCACAATGAAGCAGATTCTGCAGAACTACCGCCCTTTTGTGATCCACCTCAACCTGCGTGGTTGCACATCTCTAACATGGTCCAGCTTGAAATGTATCAGTGAGTATTGCACATTCTGTAACCTGATATAATTTTTTTATGTGCACTACACATGTTTCACTTATAATTATTAGTCAAAACAGTTTATAATTCCTATATTTTCGATTTAAAACACTTACAAAACATAAAAGTAAGATGAAAGGTAGATTTGCCATCTGATACAGATATTGAAAGAAAATGCAAGAAGGGAAAACAGATAGCCTTTTTAAAGTCAAATCTTCAGAACAGCCTTATAATCTGGTATTTCTGCGGTGCTCTCAAGTGGCTCGGCTCTAGCTCCTCCTCAATCTCTCCTTGCACTTCCATTGGTGTGTTCCATAGCTCAGGGTCCGTTTGGTCTTGATCTGTTCTGCTGTGCTGTCTGTCTTTTGGACACGCTCTGTTGTAGGAACGCACATACTCCTCCACACTCTCCCCAGTATGTTCAGGAGGAGAGCGACACAGCAGGCCAGAGTGCTTTACCCCTGGGTGCAGACGCAGCCAGTACACAATGTAGTGGATGCTGCAAAAATGCAATCAGTTTTTAATATTTATTTGGATTTGTCCTTTAATAAAAAGGGATCGTAAACATTTGAGCAGAATAACCCACCTATAGTCACACACCCAGGGGTTTCCTCCCAGTTTTAGCCGTGACAGGAAGTAAAGGTCTTCAAGAACCCCGTACTGGACAAAATGCAGGCTGTTGTCGGACAGGTCCAGCTCATGAAGGTGCAGGAGCCCAGACAGGGAAGCTGGGAGAGAGAAGAGGAAGAGATGCATGGGCATAGCATCCATTTGTTTCTTGCTTGTCTCATTATAGTTAGCCTAAATTTAGATAGAGCTGTTGTTGTTCATTATTAACCAAGCCAGTGGTGCAATCAAACCCTGATAGGAATGTGAGGGCTGGTGTTCAGTTTGCGTCTGAATCACTTAAGCACAGTGATCCCTTTATGTCTTTAACCCTCTCTGCTTTCCCCACTATAAATAAAGCCAATACTGTATACACAAAGATGGCAGAATGCCAGCTATCTCTAAAAAGGAAAAATGGGAAACAGAAGGCAGCAGCAGTTGGATAACGTATTCTCCATGTGTTATCTATCAGCAGAAGAAAAACACAACTTTGTTTGCGTAGGTTTTCATCCTGGATATTACAGGACATATGAAGCACATACTATAAGATTCACTGATTATGATTGATATGCACGCAGTAATAATAGCACACATACCTGTGTCGATGTGCTTCATGTTGTTATTACTGATGTTAAGGGTTCTGAGGCTCCTCGCTCCTTCGAAATCTCTGGCTCTGAGATGACGGATTGAATTATGGGACAGATCGATATGAACAACATCCTCTGGAATACCTGTGGGCACCTCAGTTAGGCCTAAACATCAAGGGAAATGGGTTACTTAAGGGGTCACTCAAATACATTTGGTCAGTATTATTATTTTTAAATGAATTAGAATTGTGGATTTTCCATCTCTACAATCCAAATTTGTCAAGCCAAAGACTGCTCTAAGAAATCAGCTTGAGTTTCCACTCAGTACTGCAAGTCTAGTAGCAGACTCTAAAATCCAGGCCTCCTGCCAGTAGGAGTCAGATAGTAGTAACACATTATTTGAATGAATCTATTCTTAGCAAACTTAAAATGATTTTGTATGTTTTACAATGGATTTATTCTGATGTATCAGCCAAACATTGTTTAGTTAATGTTTTCAAAGTTGTTCATAAGGTGACAAATGTCTATAACATAAAATCAGTCAGAAGTTAAGGAAGCAAGCAATGTAACATTGAACAGAAAACAATGTCTCTTTGCCAGTTCTGTGTCTGGGAATTTGAGAAATTGAAGTTTAGTCATTCCAGTTATGCAGCTGTAACATTTAATCATGAGCATTCGAGCTCTCTGACATAAACCTTCAGAGGTTTTTTTCCCCACCTCTCTTTGCATAAGAAAGAAACATGTGTGCTGAATTTCTAAGAACACAGTGAGGCTCGGAACAGGGTACAGTTAATCAAACTGATAAAGTAAAATAAAAGCTGACTGTGAGCTTACCTCGGTTACTGCAGTCCATCCGTATTTGGGGGAAATGGTAGGTATGGCAAGATGTGGTGGCGTCTGGTTTGGTGCGAATTGGAATGGGCTCTACAGGGAACGTAGTATCTGTTTGGTCACGCTGTGGGTCGCCTGTTGGGTCTGTCTCCTTACAGAGTAACTCGGGGTCAACCTGCTTCAACTTCATGCCTTTCAGCCTGATGGGCTCTGCACACCTGGAAGAGGAAACACCATTAAGTCACGGTGAAATCACATGACTCCTCTGGAATCCGAGCAAATGGATCACACTAAGTCAAAATCTTTTTGAGGAATCACTCACCTGGCATGATTTCCTAGAATACGGTTGCTTGGGACCTGCAGAGTGCGTATGAGACTCTCCATTGGGCAGAGACAATTCCAGGGATTATCATATAGACGTAGGTATTGAAGGTTTGGCATGGGGATGAGGGCCTCCTCGCTAAGTGTTCCCAGGAGGTTGTGCTGCAGCAGCAAGGTTGTAAGGCGTGTCAGGCCCCGGAAGGCCTCTTCCTCCACTTGAGAGATCTGATTCTGCTGCAAATCCAGACTAGTTAAGCTCTCATATCCAAAGAAGGCCCCATCACGAAGTACTTTGATGCGATTGCGGGCTAGAAGGAGGTGCTTGGGTTCTTTGGACCAGGTCTGTGAGCTGGGAATGGAGGTGAAGCGTCGGTCCTGACAGTCTACAAAGACGTCTCCAGAATCTGTCGACTCTGAGCAGTCAGGTGCTACACGCCCGGAGGGGCCTGATCTGCTGTGACGCCCGACACCTCTCGCCCTGATCGTTTTCAAACACAAAAAATTTAATTCATGGCTCGTCACAGTCTACAAATCATCATTAGAGTAGGGGGGAAATGGATTGAGCAAATTAGACCCAAGAGTGAGTCCATACCTGTCCCCTGTGAGTTTGTTTCTCGCTCCTCTGAGGCCTTTGCCCTTCCCCTGTCTTTTCATCTCGGTGGACTGGATCAGGAGGAGGAGCAGGGGGGCTAAGAGGAGAGAGGAGGTCACACGCATCCTGAGCCCTGCAGGGATTGTCTTTTCAGTAAGAAGAGCTGGAACCAAAGCAAGAGTTTGGGATTAGCGTCTTGTTTGGGACGAAAAGCTTGGACACAGAAGCAATGGGTCAAAGGTGAACAGTGTTTTTGTTGATGGAACACAGCTGCTGCTATGCCCCGAGAAATAAGTGAGAGGTAGTACATTATGTAAGAGATAGGAGCCGTGCAGAAATACAGCTTTGAAAGAAGCCAGACTACTATGACGCTTCCTGTTGTCCCTTACAAAGTGTCAGATATTTAATACACAATGTACAAATAACAAGTAATTCTTTACTCATTTTCTCTGCATTCTGTTTTCTTAGGTGAATGCAGAAATCTCCAGGAGCTCAATGTGTCAGAGTGTTTTAATTTTACAGTAAGTAAAACGTTGTTAAGACTAATGATGTATGGATGTACGATGTATAGATTATAGCAAAATTCTTAATCTACAAGAACATGCACCATCTTCATATCACTTTTTACACTGTTTACTAAAGTTTAATGACAAGTGATGGTTCATAATGTTAAATATTGTTAAAGCCCTCTCCTATATTAAATCAGTGTCCATTTGAAAAGGTACTTTATCTAAGATTACACTATATTTTTCTGTTAAGTTCTCACATTTGACATAAAATTGATTCTATTTCATGAAAACAAAGAAGTTAGTTTTTTTGCTAATGAACTGTTGATTGTGATATGACACTGTTCCATATACTTTAATAACAAGTGCCGGGCTGAGAGAACTTAATAAGGTAACATTTTAATTTCTGCTCTTCAACAGGATGTGATGGTTCAGAGAATTGTCGAGGGCTGTCCCTGCCTGCTATACTTGAACCTTTCTTGCACACCTGTAACAAACAAAACTCTAAGAGAGCTGTCCAGGTAAACCTCCAGTTGTAAAAAACCACCGTGTGACTTGTGCTCTAAACTCTGGTCCAACTCACTCAAACCTCCTAACTTTTTTCTTTTTTTCTGGCCTGCTGCCGCTTAGTTCCCAGAATTATCACACACACAATCACAAATCTATCATCTATGCAATCACAGACTGTGTGATTGCATAGATGATAGATTTCTGATTAGCTCTCCCCCTCGTGATTAGTTGTATTATGCAAAATGTTTTCAGAAAATATTCCACATTTACCATGCAAGAATATATACTTTTAATTCAAAATGTTGCTCTTTTTCATGACGATGCTTCCTTGCAGATTATTCACTCAAATTTACACATTTTCATTTGTAAAATAATAGAACAACCAACTATAATCTACACAAAGCTTAAACACAAATTATTTGTCGTCCATTTCTTATAATAACTAATCTAACTATTTATTTCGAACAGGAACTGCCTCAACCTTCAATACCTAAGTCTTGCCTACTGCTACAAATTTACAGATAAAGGGTTTATGTACCTGACCACAGGGAAGGGCTGCCACAATCTCTTCCACCTCAACCTGTCCGGCTGCACTCAGGTCAGTTTGTATGCTCCTCTCAGTTTGTAATCTCTCCACTCAGTTTCACCTGCAAACAGGACACAGCTTTTTGCTCCTTTGAATATTCGGTGTTCAGTCCGCCGGGGTTAATCCAGTCAGTCTTTCTGTTTGCACGTATCTCCTCTTGTTTCTGGCTGTACGCTGGTGACTGTTTGCACTCAGTCAGAGCAAATGAAAGACGGTCTGAAGGAAAAGGAGAGTAAAAGGCAGCTGGGGCCACGTGGAGGGTTGGCTTTATACTACCAACTCTGGCCCACCCATTCACCATGTATATGCTCCACAACGTAACACACATGCACCGCAACATAAAACGCGTTTTCTTCTGGGAATGTACATTGGTTCCAGATGTATGGTTTTACTTTATGGCGCCCTAAAAATTTGAGGAGCATGAAAAACTGCATCCAGGAGAAGGATTCAGATTCCAAAGTTCCTCTCTCTTCTCCTAGATGACAGTAAATGGGTTCCTGTACATTTCTGCCGGATGTCCTTCACTCAAGGAGATTGTGATCAACGACATGCCTACGCTGTCAGATAGCTGTGTTTTGGTAAGTTTGTTTATTTCTAACACATCAGCCCAGCAGACAGAGAAAATTAGAAAAGAATTTGCTTTGTCAACTGTCACACACCCATAACCCCTCGCTGCAGAGAGTTTCGAGTCTTAATCTTCTCTGACAGGCACTCACATCCCGATGTCGCTGTCTGTCTGCAATTTCTCTGCTGGATGCTCCTCATCTTTCCGACGTCGCCTTCAAAGCCATCGCCAAAATTGCCAAACTGAAGACTTTTAGCACAGAGGGTGAGATCATTTTGTATTCTGCCGCATACACATGAAAAGACAGACGAAATTTCAGTCACTCTGTCTGTTCTACAACCCATGTCCACTTTAGGTAACAACCAGCTAACAGACATTAGCTGGAAGGCGCTGTGCCACAGCTCACAAGGCCTCCGCAGACTCCACGCAGCAGAATGCCCCAGAATGACCGACGCCAGCCTCAAATCTGTGGCCGGCCTTAAGAACCTGCAATACCTGGACATCTCACTTTGTAACAAGTGTGTGTGTGTTTGTCGCTGCTGTAGTTTTCAATTGTATGCTACATTGTATGACGTAATGGGTTTATTGTTTGTATTTCAGGGTGAGTGATGTTGGGATACAGTGCTTGACTGAAGGATCCTCGTCCACCAAACTGAGAGAGCTGAATATCAGTCACTGCATTCACATCACTGACATATCCATTATGAGGATTGCACAAAGGTATATGACTTCACACACACACATCCATATCTCATTGTGGTCTGTTAAATAGTGTCACAGCAGCTCTTTTTGGTTTGTGTGTGTGTGTGCACAATTTATCAGGTTGTGTAAACTGTACCATCTCAACTTGAGTTATTGTGAGAGACTGACAGACAAGAGTTTGGACTGGCTGAGTGGCAGCTCCATCTGCTCTCTTGACCTCAGCGGTTGCAACATCCAGGATCAGGTATTGTTTGGACGTTGGCTCTTGCTTTCACAAATTCCTGAAAAAAAAGATGACTGGCCCTGGAGGTGAAGTCTGTAACTTGGTATTTGTATTTTTAGGGGCTGGCAGCCCTCCAGGGAAATTGCTTGAAGAAGATAACACTTGCTGAGTGTGTCTATGTCACAGACATTGGCATAGAGGTACAAATCTTGCTAGTATTTCGACATGTGGCATTTTTATAGAACAGTTTACAAATTTTGAGTCCAAGTGTACTTCCTTTTCCACTGTGTGCTAGCAGGAAATAAACTTCTTAACCAAATAATAAACCAAATTCTTTCTTGGAAAAGCAATTCCAAAGGAAAGATTATTGTCACGGGTGTTGTTTCACTTGCTGTTACTGGCTACTAACAGATGTAAACAGAGGAAGGCATCTATGTCTTCTTGTAGATTCCCCATTTCCTTTATTTCCTCTCAGTTCACATTTCATCCCACATATTTCTCTCATCTCCTTTGATCCTCACGAGGGCAGAAGCTGTGCAAGAATGTGACGAATCTGGAACATGTTGATGTGTCTCACTGTGTAGCTCTGTCAGACCCGGCCATCAGAGCCATTTCATTTAACTGCAGAGGTCTGCTCACACTACGGATGTCAGGTTGTCCCAAGGTATTCACACTCTTCTAAAGCCTTTAATGTTCTCCAACTAAAGCTGATAGTGATCCCCATTGTCATTTCATGCCACATGTTTTCTTCTTCTTCTGTCTTTCTTTCTTCTGCTCTGCCTCAGATGACAGATATGGCAGTGCAGTATCTGACAAGTGGATCTCAGTACCTGCGAGAACTCGATGTGAGTGGCTGCGTTCTTCTCACAGATCGCACTCTCCGACACTTAGAGAGGATCTGTCCTCCGCTCTGCTCCATCAGGATGGCCTGCTGCAGCAGCATCTCCAAGTAAGACACACTTAGAAGAACACTGCAAAGTTACAGTCCTGAACGATAACTTTTAATGAGTGTTTGTTCCCTTAGGGTGGTCGCCCTAAAGCTTCAGCCACGTGTGGAGTTCTGGGAACACAGCAATGACGACCCTCCGTGCTGGTTTGGAAATAACGTGTACCAAACACAAGCGATGACAAGAGCAGCAAGTACTGAGAGGATATAAACAGATGTCAGTAATGATTGTGTAAATATCAAGATCACAAAATCACGTCAACCATCATTGTTGGGGTACTATTTTAAAACATAAATTGTGTTGTTAAATTTGATAAATTGTATGTCGTGCTCGCATCGGGTACTACTGAGACTTCATTGCCCTCTTCAGAGAAGACTCTGACTGCAACATGCGTCTTTGTAAAGAGAGAAACGGACAGAAAAAGTCTCTAACTCTGCCTGTCAGCTCGCTCTGCTCCGTTAAAACTGAATTTACCATACAGAATTGAATACGAGTGCACTCCAGATATAGCTGCAGCCAGCTGACCGTGTGCTTCTCCCTATACCGCAGTTCTGTGTCCATGCATGCAGCAAACTGAAAGCACTGCCTGTCGGAGTGTCTACATGAAAAGAGAAGGAAGACATGGCTGGTAGTATTGTCTTCAGAGTTGTTAAACACCTCAGCGCACTGAAGGAAGCCATCTGACTGTGTGAGGAGCAAGATCGTTGATGTCTGCAGGCAGAGTAGGATCTCTCCTGTCTGACTGGTCCACCAATAGGAGAGAAGATGAGCCCTTGAGTCACATGACTAAATAAAGATTTATGGAGGAAAAAAACATTCTGATTATTCCGACACCTCATGAATGCACCAGTCATCAGTCTCCGCTCACTCCTTCCTTTCCAAGCGCAGGAGAAGCTACTGTGGTCGACAAGCTCTGTTGGCTCTTGTGCTAAATAATATGTGTGGGCCTCCATTTGTCCAAGTTCCTTTTCTTTTCTTACTTTTAATAATCCATCGACTACTACTACTTATTGTTCTTATTGTATGTATTCAACGTTGTGACGAAATGTGCTCTGTGGAGCGGTTTATCCGTTTGGGCTACTGTAGAAACATGGCGGTGCAACATGGCGACTTCCATGTCAGAGGACCCGCAGTGTATGTAGATAGAAAAGGCTCATTCTAAGGTAATTAAAACATAATGGGTCATTATGTAAGGTCTTTATATACCACTGAAAACATTGTTATGGATATTATATTGTATTTCTGTCAGTAGATCCTCCTAAATACACTGGACCTTTAAGAAACTTTATACTTTTAAACACATGGAGCTATAAATCCCTTCTCTGGTGTTCCTCACCATGTCAACAGTCTGATTACAGAGATTGTTAAAATTGATTGTAATTGGTTTTTAAATGTCTACATTATGTGATTAACATTGGTTTGTCTGTGTGCTGCATGATTGTCTATTTCCTTTTGAAATGTACTTTGTTTATTTATGCTCTTTAAATTAAAAAGCTGTATTTTTTATATTACAATCTTGGTTTATCCTTTGTTTATCTAACACTTTGTAATTACATCACACTTAGTTTTACTGAAATTTTTATAATGTGTGGATTTGTTTTATGCTGGACCTTAACAGCATACACAGACTCACTTTATGCTTTACACTCCCGTGAGATGAAGCTTGTTAGTGGAAGTCATATTCTGTACAATTTTGCTGCTTATTTGGCGTAACAATATAAAGCTCTTTTGGAATGTGCAAAGAGGATTGCAGAAAATGTGTTTTCAATACTTGGTGCTTAAATGAAAATGGCTTCATTAATTAGCTTTCATTAATTAGAGCCAGGTCAATACCAGTCAAATTCAGAATTGGTCATTTGCAGCTATAATTGAATTTGACAGCACAGAGGTGTCTGACTGAAGTTAATGACAAAAAAAACACACTTTTTCATGTTCTTTTCAAAGTTTGAGACATAACAATATATTTTTTATAGTATTAACAGACCATCCAGAAGAAATGCAATCCCTGGCAATATTTCACATCACAAGTAAACATTCAAATCTGTTTCTAATTAACATTTAAAAAACCACTGACAGTGCTGTTATGCAGTATGCTACCCAGACTCAGTGTATGTACAGTGATTTTTAACACATATAGAATATTTGTTAAATACTATAGATACATAATGTCCTTATTGACAGTACAGTAGATCCTGAGCAGGGATGCAGTGTCACTCATAACTCAGCTCCCCAGCTTCAAGGACTCAAACCAGCTTTGTGTCTTCAGTCTGACAGAGCCTCTGTCTGCCTGAGCTTTGACCCACCGGTCCACTGGAGACTCTCCATTTATATAGCCTGAGAGAGACACAGTAGGGGAAACAACAGACAGGCCACAGACGAGTGTAGAAAGGAAACAGAACGTTCTGTGTTGATTTAATTGTTTGAGGGTTTAGGTAATTAGCTGTGCCATGAAGTGTGATATAATGAAGAATAATGGCTTACCAGTAACTGTGGTTTGGCCTTCAGTTGTGTTGTTTTCTACTCCATGCAGAACAACCTCTGGGCTGATATCCACTGACGTGCCACAGAGCTCCACCCCGGCTTTCAGTGAGAAGGGGACACGCACACACACCGCTCCTACGTACGACAAAGAAAACAGTCCTCGGTAAGGAAAACCGTGGTTCAAAAGGTGAATATTCTTCTTATGCTGTGTGTTTACCATTCTGACTGTGAAGTTCGGCACTGCCACCGTCTCCCACATAGACATCAATGCCTCCGCTGTGAGAGGAAACTTTCAGGAAGCTATTTGAACCATCTGTAAAAGCAAAGAAAGCGTCAGATGGCTGGCCTATCTCAGCCACTGATGGATACCATACGTATCATGAATCAGCAGAATCAGCTTGCTTACCAATAGCTGTATCTCCAGACACGTTCTTCACAGTGGCATCACCTTTTAACCAATGAAAGCACAAGCTCTGTTTCAACTAATACATATACTGTAGCTGTCAGATTATGTTCAGTTACTAGTAGATAAATTACAACATCTTTAACCAGTAAAGACTTGGCAGAGAAGAGCCTCTATCACAGACTGCATACGTCATAAACGTGCATCAATAAAGTTAACAAGAAAATTGTTTCCATATATTCTGTGATGATGATCTGTGTCTCCTCCAATACCTCCAATAATTTGTCTTACAACAACTTTTATAGTGACACCAAAACAAACAGATTACAACCACATTACAGTTAAGTAGACTCTGTTTGATCAGAGCCCAGGATTCCTGACATACCAAAGCCCTGCTTTACCAACCAAGTAAACATGGTGCAGCTGTGTGCCCCCAATGCCTCATGGGAAGTATTTTAAAGATTTTAGAACCTACTGGCTGAGTGACCTGCTATCTGCAGGTTGCAGATTAATAAAAAAAATACATGCTGTAGTTTGAAGGGCAGGCTGCAGTAACGCAGGTGGGAAATTGGGTCGCCTATTAATCATAGGGCTGGTAGTTTAATCCCTGGTTCTTCCTCTTCACATGCTGTTGTCCCTTAACAACATCATAACCCCAAATTAAGGAAACATTTGTGTTGTTTTGGACAAAAGTAAAATGAATTTGGTGTAACACTCATAACCACTTAAACAATATAGATGAAGATAGGATGATGCTTTAGTATAGATGAGGAATAGATGCTGCTGTCTGCTCACCATGTACATGCCCCAGTTCTACTTTCCCAGAGCAGGAGGAGATGAAGCTGGACTCCGCATAGATGGCTTTGATCTTCAGAGGGCCACATTCTGTTGAAACATTCATTTTGGTGCCCTGGAGCTTCTTGACAACCACTGCCTGCAAACACACAACTAATCACTGCACAGGACCGTAGCCAGGTGATGCATGGTAAAACTCTTTTCAGTTTTGTCTCCAAATTTAAAAGGTATTCTGCAAACAACGCTGAAAACACATTTAGATAAAGTCTGTTTTTAGGCTGCTGCTGCCCCCTAATGAATGCTGAGTGTAAGTGTAACACCGTCCTTACACTGTCTCCACATGTGCTGATGTTCACATTGCCATGGATAGTGCCCACACATGTAACGTTTCCTCCCTGGGACTGGACCTCGACCTGGTGACCCTGAGAAACAACAAACAACAGTGAGAGGATCAGAATGGAAGAAATGGAATGTGGAATCTGAAGTCTGATCTTTGGTGCTGTTCACCAATACAAGTTATTGCTATAGGGTAACAGTGATATAGTTTTAGAAGCCATTATTTTTGTTCCTATATATATTAGGCAACACTGACTCCTATTTAGCTTTGTGGCTACTTTGATAATTGCATGGCATGACAAAGAAAAGGTCAACAACAATTCTAGATTCGCAATCAGTCAAATATCTGAAATAACAACAATATTGAGTCAATAGTGATATAATTTTTAATGGTGAAATCAGCCAATAGGATATAGTAATGTGCAAACATATTACTATATCCTGTATTTGTGTATTTTTCTGCAGGAAGCATTCATGTTGTCATGCCTCCACTTACCTTGACTGAGTGCAGAAAACAGTTACCCTTCTCTGTCTGCACCTTGCAGATATCACACTCCATTTTCTGCACATGCACGTTGCCATTTCCTTGAGTAGTAATGAAAAGATCTGACAAAAGCAGAATTTATTAGGGGGGCACCCAAGGACCACAGACAATATCATGCCTGTTGCTGTAAACAACCTGATGGCATTTTAAAGCACCATTGAAATAATAAGCCCTACTTTAGACATCCAATATTAAACCTGGATGTTTTGTAAACATTAAGGGGTCATTTTCATCCATGGTTGCATCATTTCACAGGAGACACTCGCTACGTTTGATAGGTGCAGTCAGATCAGTACTCGCTACGTTTGATAGGTGCAGTCAGATCAGTACTCGCTACGTTTGATAGGTGCAGTCAGATCAGTACTCGCTACGTTTGATAGGTGCAGTCAGATCAGTACTCACTACTTTTGATAGGTGCAGCTAGATCAATCAACACGCTGTTGTTAACCTCCCCAGCTGATATGTGCAGCTCTTTGCTCTGGTCATCATAGTGGACGTGTAAGTGATCCAGACCGACCTCCTGCTCGGTGTCTGTCCCGTGGACTGTGATGAGAGCTCGATCAGCCTCAGGGAAGGCGTGCGGGTCCAGCGGGCTTATGGAGATACTGCAGCCCAGCTGTGCCCGTACCGTGCTGAAGGGGCTCACCTCCGGGGCCCACTGCTTCAGAGGCGGGTTTACCTCCACGTGCGTTCCAGACTTCGAGGTGGCAGAGATGGAAAAGAACCGTGAAGGGCAGCGAGGGGTTGTGAGTGTCCTGGAGCTGGCCGCGAGGGACCAGCAGCGGAGAAGTCCGACACATCCCCGCTGTCCTGCTGAGCTCCAAAACATCTTATGTCACTTTCCGGTAAACCAGCTCATCCACTGCTGCTGTTACAGCGACTTAACCACACAAACTACTGCGCTAAACGAGCTGCCATTCGGTCAGTATGGACTGTCAATACGCTGTCAAGTCTGTGTGGTAGAGTTAGCACAATGCTAATACTTCCGGTACGAGTTTTCAGACTATGCCTTGAACAAGTTGACATGAATTGATCTTTTTAAAATATATATAATATAATTATGATAAGTCGTGAAATATACTACAAGATAAAAGAAGACATCAGAAAGCACACACACTAATGAAATTGTGAGTTGCAGTTAATAATAATAATAATAAAAGAAGCACCTTTAGGAAAGGGCGTCTGTTGAAGCTAAAGTATATATTTAAAGCAGGATTTGTTGGAAATACAAACCATAATTTTTTCACCATTATAGTTTTACACCATACTCATTTACTCCTCTGTTATTGTAAATATGTAATCAAACATGTAGGCAAACATAATTCTAGGGCCCCAATAAGGCACCTGCTTTGACTTTCATACTAACGTTACACACACTGCAAGCACTGAGGAGTTTTCCTCAGATGGGAATAAACGCGTAAAGATACCAGCAACCAGTGTTCTCCCTAAGCATTTTATTTCTTTGATGTTAAAGGCACGTTTACTCCCTACACTCTAGTTAACTTAACAGATCGGATGTACAATCGCTTGTAAACTCATACCGCTCCTCTTTTGGTCTTGTCCAATCAGTAGGCTTATGTGAACAAGTCGCAGGTGACGTCGTTCTCCGCAAAGGCTGTTGGGAATTTGAGTCTTGAAGTGTTTGCTGGAGTCCAAAACTCCACTGCATGGTGCAGATATGTAAGTCTGTCCTTTAAATCTTTTCTATTAAAAATGTTGACTTAGCTCTAGTTTTAATTCCATTATTTTGTACTTTATTTCGCAGATAATTTTAAGAGAAGAAAGGAGAAACAAATGCAAAAACCATCATAGCCTGTTCATCATAATTTTATTTATTTTAACCAAACAACTTAATTATAAAACATCCCAAACAGCTTCAACCAACCACCAACTGGCTTTCCAGTATTGTAATAAAAAAATATCTGTGTTGCATACCCGTCAGATTCAGACTTCACTGAAAAATAACTCTTTCCATCTATCGTCATTGAACAAATTACACTCTCATTATGACATATTCATATTAAAAGGTTATAAAAAGATACTGTGTAATTAGGATTATAACATTTGTATAATCTTATTTGTATAATTTGTATAATTATAACATTTGTAACTATGTACATCCTCAGTTGTTATATTATCCTGTAAACAAATCAGTATAACAGAATCAAACACCACAAGGCGGCAGCGTTGTGTTAATAGTGTAAAATAAGTGTATGGAGAGTATACTCGGTTTTTTAAAAATTGGAAATAGCATCTAAGGAGCTTATGGTTGAATGGTAGATAGCATGCATGTTTCTTTCCCAACATGCCCTGGAAGAGAATCACAGCTCATGGTGCAAAGCCCTTTGGTCTGATCATCATCCTGACAGTTTTAAAAGACTGTCTGTCATTGGTAGGGTAATACTCTGCAGATATGTTATGCCACGTCCCCCAGAAAATCCCATCCCGAACACCTTTGTACCTCCCCACATGGTATCTCCCGTTGAGGTTTGCAGCCATGCAGGCATCAAACCACCAGCCGGAGCTGTAGTAGGCCCCGCAGTTCCCGGATGGATAGCGGTCGTGGTCCCTGTCCGAGGTGGTGAACGCCCTGTTGTTGTGATCATAGGTTTTACTGAAGCGGAGAGCATCACCTGCAGTACCCGAGTACCCGTCTACTGTCAGTCTGAAGCGCATCCGTTCACTAGCCACCTTAAACTGCTCGTACTCTGCATACTCCATCACCCCGTCAAAGTCCTCCAGCTCCACCCGCAGCACCATGTCCCTCTCCCGGGTCAGCAGGTGGATCATGTTGTTGCCCAGCCAAAACTCGCCTCCGTCCAACTCCCCGAAACCTGATCGATACTCAGCCCATGTGCGGTTGAAGTTCACGCTGCCGTCCTGTCTGCGCTGCAGGAGGGTCCATCCTCCTCCATCCAGCTCCATGTCACAGAAGACCGGGAAGCTCCTACTGCGGCGGTCAGGGGTCACCAGGTAAACCCCGCTTTTTGTCTCCCCCATGAGCAGGTGGTCGGAGCAGTCTGTCCGCGTCATTGTAACTGCAGATGAACAAAATTTAGAAGAAAATGCAAAGAATTATGAACACCTTTTTTCCTGAAAATCCACCAAAAGAAAAGTCATTCTTCATTTAGAGAGTGATCTAATCTTATGCTTAAATCTTGCAGGTGAAACTTTCATCTTGCAGCTGGGATGTAGCCATGAAATAAGGTCACAAGTGCAGCAGGTCAGTGCAAAACTACTTTTCCACCATAAAAGATTTAGTGTTTTTGCAGCCTTTATAGGGGGACCTCCAGGGTAGATACACAGACAGCTTTTAATATCATATCTGGATTTGAGAGATCAAAGATTTTAACATTTGTAACTATAAAATAACCAAGTTTTTAGTCTGAGAGTCTTTTCCTGTGTTATTCATTTGATATATAAAACACACATAATATGTAATCTGTAAAGAATGAGGTAAACAAAGTTTTTTTCACACCTGTTACTGCATGCAAGGAGGCTGGCAGTATTTAGTTTAATTCTTATTCTTATTATTATTATCACAAGTTATTCAGTTGCTGTCAGCCAAGCGCCACGGAAGGTTGTTTTAAAGCTGTTAGTCTACACATAGTTGTGGTTTGCTCCTAAATCACAACACTCACGCAGACACACACATTTTGCACACATATTCAGATTCCTCCATTAGCCATGATGTATGGTACAAAGATGATCTCAGACCACATAAGTATATTATCTTTTTTTTTTTTTACATGAAGATCATTAGTGCTTCCCATGTGGTCCTCTTATTTAAAATCCTTTCAGCTCAGGTCGCAGCAATTTGCTTTTTTGAGTGAGTAATACAATTATAAGCACCCAAATACTAATGCATAACAGTTCCTCAACAGTTTTCTCTCAGGCTAATTGTGATGTAATGTCAACACAAGACAATAGATTTTTATGAGGTTGCTTGTTGTACGTGCCTCCTCTCCTTCCTTTTCAGGCTTCATTTACCACTTTGTGCGGTAAACATGAAAACATATAACCATATTGATAAAGCAAATCAATATGGTTTGCTGCTATCCATGCTAATACACGCAAGCTTGTCAATAACAGCCAAAATCCATGTTTAAAGTTATCTACTTTATGTGTAGATTCATGGTAGAGCATGCGTACAAAGACAAAACTTGATTAACCACTGTGTAGTGTTAACAATAATATCTCTTGCCTTTAGATGGTATCAGAGTTGGTAGTTTGCTTTCTGTCATTTCAGGCCTGCTGCCACCCTGGTTGTCCTCAGGGTGCTGTTTTGGACGTCTGTCTGGTGGTCTTCCATTTTTATTGAGGAAAGCAGCCACCTGGTTGATTTTCACACGCAGCTCACGTGCACTGGTAGTGGAAGACTCAGCAGGCGGGGGCTCGGGGCCAGAGGTGGCAGGGGTTGTTGACCTGAGATCAGTACTGGTTGTGGAGGTAGTTTGGGCACTGGGGGTAGGAACTGGAATCTTCATTTTGTCTGGATATGGAGTTTTTCTGCCGGCTGCTTCCTCCACATTATAAAGTATCTTAGCTTGTAAGTTGGAGTCAGTATTAGAAGCTTGATCTGGCTTTGTTGGTCCTGGACCGGTGCTAGGGACAACGCTTGGGAAGATCCCATGGATGATTATGTTTGGTGTTGTTGTCATTGGGATCGGTGGTGGTTGACCAGCTGTCTGTGGCCTCAGATCAGACGTAATCCTGCTGTTTGGACTCATCGTGAAGCCTTTGGAGAGAGTGTGAAGGCGAGGGAAGGGTCCAGTCTCCAGGCTGTTGGAGGTCTTTGGACCCAGAGTGATAGTTTTCATCGTGCTGGGAATGAACTCTGTGTCCCCTGGAGAATGAGTCTCTTCAGCAATCTGTTTTACAGGGCCAGATGCAGGTGGTATGTTAGTTTGAGAGTATTGGATGCCGTCTGAAGTAGTGCCGCTGATTTGAGGAGGATCTAAATCTGTTCTGGTCTTTGGACTTGGCTTTATTTGCGCTGCTGGTTGTGGCCTCTGAGCCGATATTGCTCCTGGCTTGAATGTAGGTCTGGTTGGTGGCCTATGTCTGGGAGGAGGCCTTGGTTTGGATGTTTTGTTGGAGCCTGCGTCATGGCTTTCATCAGGCACAGATGCGGGGTTAAGATTAGGCATTTGGTCAGTGTGAGGTGTTGTAAGCCCTTGGTTGGTTTGTGCTGTTTGGTCAGGTCTGGGCTTCACATTTGGTTTAGACTTTTGGCCTGTTAGAATCTCTGGATGAATTTGGTTAAGTTTAGGTGCTAGGCCAGGTTCAGATGTTTCATCAGGCGGTTTGATCAGGACATAATCAGGTGTAAGCTTTTCTCCAGGTGTTGTTGAGTCTTTAGATTTAGTCTTGAGCAAAGGATTCTCATCAGAATTATCCATTAATTCTGTTACAGGCTTTTGGTAAAGTTTTGGGGTGAAGCTAGTTGTTCCACTTTCCTCAGGTTTAGGCTCTGGAACAGGTGTGAGATATTGGTTTGATGTAGACCGTTGATCAGATTTTGTTTCTTCTTTCGGCTTTTTGTGAGGATTTTGCTTTTGGCCAGGCTTGTCGATTTTGAGGGGATGGACCGGGCTTTTCTCAGATTCTGGCTCTCGGCCATTTAGAGGGCCAGAACCAGTTGCATTTACAGTTTGAGGCCTTTGATGAGATGTAGGTCTCAAGACAGGAAGCATATACTTTTGAGAGTTTGGCTTTTGAATAGGTGACTGGTTTTGATCAGTTGTATGTTTTTGGTCATGTTTAGGTATTTGACCAGTTGGTAAATTATCAGGTAGAGGTCTTTGGTCAGGTTTTGGAATTTTGACTCGTTTAGGGTCTTTGCCAGGTTTAGATTTCTGGTTGGTTGTGGGTTTTTGATGAGAAGGCTTCTGCTTTTGGTCATGTTTTGTTTTTTTGTCAGGCAAAGGAGCTCGGTCAGATTTACGGACATTCTTAGTATTTTTAAGCTTTTGGTCTGCTTCAGGCTTAATTGCAGGTTTATGCTTTTCACCGGGCTTTGGTCCTCTGCTGGGTAAAGGTTTCACGGCAGGCTTAGTGTTTGAGCTGATGTTCGTTTTAGGTGTCCAAAGGCTGCGGTCTGCGACTCCTGGGAATGTAGTTGTGTATAAACTCTGAAGAGGAGTTGTGGTGGTTGTAGTTGCTGCATTTGAGCCAACTTGACCCTGGAAGCCTGCCCTAGCTCTTGCACTGGTTGTAGAGGTGAACCTACTAGTGGAACTGGTTATCTGCTGTCCAGGGCCAGCCAGTGTGCTTATTGTGGCTGTTGTTGTTGGCTTGGTCCTAATGCCTGCTCCAACATCAGCAATGCCAACTCTTCTGAAGCTTGTGCTTTGGGTTGGTAATCCGTCATCAGATACTGCCATCCCTGGATTGATATCTGTGATCAAATGTGAAGTGGAGCTGGACAAAGGAGGAGATGGAAGAGATGACGTAAATGTTATAGCTTTGTTTGAGTCCATGGAGTCATGCCTTGGAGCTAAACTAATGATAGAGTCAGAAGTTGGGCTGATTGAAACAAAGTCTGTCCTCGCAGGCGTCTTGCTGGATGCTAATTCGCCATCACTGTCTCTCTGTACGCTCTGGACCGTTTTTTCTCCTTCTGTTTTGATCTCCTTTCCCGTCTCCCTGTCCTCCTCCTCCTCCTCCAACTCCCCCTCTTTTATAGTCTTCTCTTTTTCTGCGCGCCCGATGCTTTCAGTCTGTTTAGGTTTTTCATTATTTCGCTCCACTTTTATTCCCTTTTCCTTTTCCTCTTTCCTCTCCTCCCGGTGCTTCTCTCGCTCCTTATTTGTATGCTCGTCATGGTCCTCAGACATCTTTATTCCATCACTGCCCCTGTCTTCTTTGGTTTGGGTCTTTTTTTCTGTTTCATCTAGCCACATGTGATTCTCACGTTCTTCTGTTTTCTTCTTATCTTTTACATTACTTGGAATCTTTCTCTCTTTTCCATTCTCCAATGAATCCCTTCGATCTCCTTTTGAATTCCCTTTTCTCTCTTGTTCTTTATTTCTGTCTGCCTCTGTTCTCTCATATCCACCAGCAGTTGGCACCTTTGCCTTCCCCAGTTTGTCATTTTCTTTTGCCCCCTCTGTCAGAGTTTTTCCATCCATTTCTACCACTTCTTTTAGGGTTTCTTCTTTCTCATTTTCTTTTACGACTCCTTTATCGTGCTCTCTTTCGGCTTCCCATTTCTTTCTCCCTTTCTCTTCCAAAATTGTTCTTTTGCCTGAGTCTGTATCACCATCTCCTTCCATAGACTTTTCTGTTTTAACCCTGTCTGTCCCACACTCCCTGCTGAAATCTTGTAGTCTCTGAGGATTTCTCCCATTCAGCCAGTTTCTCTCATCCATATGTCTTTCCCTACCCCCATTCAGTTTTTCATGCTCTCTTTGCCTTCCACACTCTCTCTCAGTTTGGCTTACTGTACAATCTGCGCACATCTTCCGCAGTTGATCCACATTGTCCTTCAGCTTCTGCAGATCCCTCACGATCTTCTCCAGCTCCCTGAGCTGCTTTGGCAAATGGACAGTCAGCGGCGGCAGACTGAATAGGTAGGGGCACGTGCTCTCATCATGCCCCTGTCTGCATGGCCCCTCAGGTCTCAGAGTTGCAGAGCAGGGCTCAAAGTCATTATCCCCTAGGAGGTCTCCTTCATCAGAGTCTGCTGTGGTCCATGAGAGGCTCAAGAAAGCCAGCAGGGTCCCACATACGCACAGTGCTGTTAACCTCATCACGTTCTAAGAGTAAAGAGTGAAAGGAGAGGAGGGAGAGAGTGTAAAAACGACCCACCTCAGTTTGAGAAGCGCACTGACAGTGAGAGGAGGAGGTAAGGTGGGAGGGAGAAGAGGAGGGAGGATGGAGCTGTTCAGTGGAAAGTAAGTCTGTGAGAGAAATGAGGAGCGAGAAGCTCTGAGAGTGAAACAGGTGACAAAAAAGACAGAGAGTGAAAGGAGGATTGTGTGGATGTCCTTCCCAGTAGATTGTCTCTGTGAGATAGTGGATGATAAGCATGAAGCGTGAGTAACTGGTCAAATATTTCTACTTTATAACATAAGCAGAATTAGCCGTAACAGCTCTAAGCTCAGTCAAACTGTGAAAGCTTTCGAAAGCCTGTGTCTTATTGTAATCCTGTTATTACATTCCAACGTATCCTCACTGTAATCACATCACTTAATGAATACCATTTGTATTGCATTCCCACTCCATGCTGTGTTATCACGGCCTTGAATATGCATGTGTGTCACAGTTGCTTTGGCAGGCGTTTCCCAAGCTTCCTGTCAGTGGGTCCACAAACATGTGAGTGACAGATGCGACAGGTCAAAATATGCATTTGAAGCAAAATATTGGCTGAGTTAGTTACTCAGATTTGTAAGGGCATATTTCATTTTACTGTAAGCTGTGTGGTTTAGTTCAGCTCCTGAGTAATGAAAGTCAGGAATGTCAGATTTATCCAAGAAGGCCGCTTGATTCAAACGCAATGCCAGGGCAGAGAAATTTCTCAAGTACTATTGACTTTATTCGGACAGTACTAATCCTCAACAAGTGTTGAGAATTGCTGAGGCAATCTCCGGGTGGAGAAGCTAAGCTCGCTGAGTGCAGACTGTCAGTTCATGTAAGATTTTGGTTCTCTGCTAATTCATTGTGTCTACATATAGTCAGAAAAAAAAGAAAGAGAGAAAACACAGTCACATGAACTAAATGAGGCATCTGCTTGGCAGGGAGTTTAGATAATGAGGCTTTAGTTTCTGAGACCTGGGGTGTAAATGTCAGTCCCACTGCAGGATATAAGATATGAGTGATAGCATGCAATGCCAGCATTAGATGTTTCAGAAATTAGACCACTTAAATTGTCTTGTTTTTAGGCTGCGATGAAACTTGACCCTTGCGCATTTCTGTTCTCTCTGTCTGTTTCACTGGCTGCTGGAGAGATTACTCAGCTGTCCTTTAATAATGACAAAGGAAACCATTTGTTTAGCGAGAGGACTGTGGGAAGCATCAGGTTAGAAATGAAGAACGAGTTACGGTGAAAGAGAAGAGATCAATATAGAACAGCACTGGCCTGCAAATTCATAGTTATGTCTGGAGACGCGGCACCTTGGAAGAGCTGAGAGAATGAGTCAAAGAAAAGGATTCGATTAATTCAGTTTTCTTTTTACTTTAAAAAAAGAGGCTATAATATTTTTCAACTACAATATCGAGGCCTTCTAATCCATGCATATAAAAGTGGTAACTTTCCAAACATACTCCATATGTGCAATGACTTTACATTGCAAGTTGGACCCTTCCTCCTCTTCCTTCTGTGTTAACGCAGCTATGAGCTCATTTGACATTTGACAACTGTTGGCAGGATAAAAGCCAGGAATAAGTATCCTTTCACCTTTCACAGTCACTGCAGTACTTCAACACTTACACTGGGAAATAGTGTGAGAGAAATGTTTACACTCTCGAGAGACTTCTGTCTGAACACTAGGCCGTATCAATTTATTATCATAGAGCCACATCTTTCACAGCACAGCCACGTATAAATCCCAGACAGTCGCTGCTTAGCCACAACAAACTAACCTGATGCATGGGCTGCATGAAGAAGAATAATGATTAATGCAGTTGATTAAGAAGGTTAATTCATTTGATAGTAGCCAATCTAGATGAATCAATTCTGCTCTCAGCAGCAGCAGAGCACAGCAAGGAACGCTATTATTCCCAATAATACCCTCACTCCTGGCTTTACCCATTTATGGACAGCAGTTTTTTTTTCTCCTCAGGGTGCCCTCTTGGGATACAGTGTTTTGAATTCCCCCAGTGAGCTGGCTTGGCCCACTCTCTGTCCTGGATCGTGTAAACACTTTGGTTTTTTTCCATGCAGACTAGAACAAACATCTGACCATCAGTCCGGCTTTGCTGCCACTTCATCTCTCTCCACTTTGGGCAGAGGAGCCAGTGTCGTCGGTCAGGTCTGTTATGTGCATAAGTGTTCGATTTCCAACTGAACTGGAGTGAACCCAACGACTGTCGTAGTGCAGCGCCAGCCTCTTGTAATACCAGTCTGTCTGCCTGAAGGTATAAACCTACCTGGACAATATTATTCTACTGACTCACTGCTTGCATGCCGAGAACAACTAAACATTTAATCATTAAACAAAACAGTTACACAATACAACACATGCCTTAATCCTGTGGATCAGTGTGTATCAGTTTAAAATTAATTGTCTCTTTCTTTCTCTCTCTCACACATACAAACACACACACACACACATATATATATATTCACACCCATTGCCAATTCCTTAATTCGTCAGTAACTCACACATTCCTTTGCCATGTGAGATAATGTCTCTGTCATCTGTCAATTGACTGATTGTGATTCTTGAAAATAAAACAACCAGTGTCCCTCACATCTGCGCTGGATTTCCTACAGCTAGCCAACACCAGATAACGTCAAGTCCATTTCTTTCTAATCCAAAAGTCTGGACTTCATTAAGACATTGTTTGAAATTTATATTTATGAATCCTTGTCCAGATGAAGGATATGGAAAGTGGACGTAACATGGGAACAGGTTATCTGCTGCTGTTGCCTTCTCCCCAATGGGAGTGACTCTGAGGTGAAAGTGGAATATTTGTTGTTTTGCAGTAGGAAACATTCTGTAAAGACACTTGCCATAAAGGCATTAAACTGAAGCTGGTTTTTCATCATATCATATCCTGATGTTCATACTGAATTGATTTGTGCTGCATTCTGTATATTACCCAGCTGTGGTTAATAGAAACCACGTGGATGGACCAGATGTAAATGCACACAGGTGAGACTAAGTGCATCGCAAAAATACAAGCTTGTTGACCTTTCCTCTTTGCTGTATTCTACATCGATATTTAGATTTAGATTTTAGGCTGGTAAAAGTAATAACATTGGAATGACAACTTGCTTTCTTATCCAGAATACTGAAGGTCAGTTGTGGAGGATGGTAAAAGTAACAATACCACACAGTAAAAATACTCCATGACAAGTAAAACTCCTGTATAGAAAATGTTACTTCAGTAAAATAACATAAGTATTGTTAACTTAAAAGTTAGTTCAAAACTAAAAAGTAAAAGTACTCAATGCAGAACATTGGCCTTTTGTGAGTTTTATGATATTAAATAGAAATCATATTATTGTATTATTATCATTATTATTACTGATGTATTAATGTGTAAGTTGAATTTTACTGTCGTAGCTGGTCAAGGTAGAGCTTTTTTATTGATTTTATGTACTGGTAGTTAATTTTGAACAGTGTATCATACTTTATAAGCTCATGTTTTATCTGTGAAATCTTTTATTTGTAAGGTAATGTAATTTTAACTGTAAAATAAATGTAGTAGAGTAGAAAGTACAATATTTATTACCTGAATTGTAGTAGAGTAGAAGTATAAAATGGAAATACTAAGTAATGTACCTCAAATTTGTACTTGAGTACAAACTTTCAACCACTTCAGAAAGCGATATAAAGCATTCTTCTCTTTGCACTGCCTGGTGTTACGGGAACCGAAAATAACCTTTGCTTTATTATCCTGCAAACTGTGTCTTCTTCTCTATGGCAACTGTTAAAGTGTCAGTGCGGAGTGTAACATTCAACCAATGAACAATTTGGGTCAAATGAAATAAACAAATCTCATTTTAGAATAAGCCAATGTCAGCAATGATGAACACTGTGTACATTACCTCTCCAATCTCTCTGGCAGATTAAGACTTCTACTTTAGCGACTGCAGATACCGTCTAGAGTAGCATATAAATGGATGAGGCCTGAGAGAGATGGCCATTTGACAGTTGGGAGTTGGGAGAAATGTAATTTTCCATATTTGCAGGATTTGTTTCAGTTTTCTGTCATAACAAAAAGATAACTTTCATCCAATATTAGTATGTTATGAAAGAAAACATTTAGGCATTGTATTGAAATTTTAATCACATAATGTTGACATTAAATGAATAATAGTACTTAGATCTTGGATGCAATAAAACTAGTGACCAGCCATGTCTTCTTGTGCAATACAAGTTGGTACATTTTCAACTTGCACCTCCCAACAGGAGCCCTAATGAAACAGCTGTGAGGGTCAGTGGATGTGATGATTTTCACAGAACAAAATGTATTTCCATCCCTATGCTGCCACCTAGTGCCATTATTAAGAAATAGCTCAGAATACAGATTCATTATATCAGAATCAGAATCAGCTTTATTTGCCAGGTATGTGTACATATACAAGGAATTTGACTCTGGATTGTACAATGCTCACGATGTGCTTACTTACAGGTGCTGTTCATACAATTAGAATATCATCAAAAAGTTGATTTATTTCAGTAATTCCATTCAAAAAGTGAAACTTGTATAATGTATACATTCATTCTTTTTAATTTTAATGATTATAACTGACAACTAATGAAAACATCAAATTCAGTATCTCAGAAAATTTGAATATTGTGAAAAGGTTCAATATTGAAGACACCTGGTGCCACACTGTAATCAGCTAATTGACTCAAAACACCTGCAAAGACCTTTAAATGGTCTCTCAGTCTAGTTCTGTAGGCTACACAATCATGGAGAAGACTGCTGACGTGACAGCTGTCCAAAAGACGACCATTGACACCTTGCACAAGGAGGGCAAGACACAAAAGGTCATTGCTAAAGAGGCTGTCTGTTCACAGAGCTCTGTGTCCAAGCACATTAACAGGATAAGCAGTTGACGATGGATGGATGGATGGATGAAGGGAAGTAAAAGATGTGGTAGAAAAAAGTGTACAAGCAATAGGGATAACCGCACCCTGAAGAGGATTGTGAAACAAAACACATTCAAAAATGTGGGGGCGATTCACAAAGAGTGGACTGCAGCTGGAGTCAGTGCTTCAAGAACCACCACGCACAGACGTATGGAAGACATGGGTTTCAGCTGTCGCATTCCTTGTGTCAAGTCATTCTTGAACAAGACACAGCGTCAGAAGCGTCTCGCCTGGGCTAAAGACAAAAAGGACTGGACTGCTGCTGAGTGGTCCAAAGTTATGTTCTCTGATGAAAGTAAATTTTGCATTTCCTTTGGAAACCAAGGTCCCAGAGTCTGGAGGAAGAGAGGAGAGGCACAGAATCCATGTTGCTTGAAGTCCAGTGTCAAGTTCCACAGTCAGTGATGGTTTGGGGTGCCATGACATCTGCTGGTGTTGGTCCACTGTGTTTCTGAGGTCCAAGGTCAATGCAGCCGTCTACCAGGAAGTTTTAGAGCACTTCATGCTTCCGGCTGCTGACCAACTTTATGGAGATGCAGATTTCATTTTCCAACAGGACTTGGCACCTGCACACAGTGCCAAAGCTACCAGTACCTGGTTTAAGGACCATGGTATCCGTGTTCTGAATTGGCCAGCAAACTCGCCTGACCTTAACCCTATAGAAAATCTATGGGTATTGTGAAGAGGAAGATGCAATATGCCAGACCCAACAATGCAGAAGAGCTGAAGGCCACTATCAGAGCAACCTGGGCTCTCATAACACCTGAGCAGTGCCACAGACTGATCGACTCCATGCCACGCCGCATTGCTGCAGTAATTCAGGCAAAAGGAGCCCCAACTAAGTATTGAGTGCTGTACATGCTCATACTTTTCATGTTCATACTTTTCAGTTGGCCAACATTTCAAAAAAAATGCTTTTTTTTGTATTGGTCTTTAGTAATATTCTAATTTTCGAAGATACTGAATTTGGGATTTTCATTAGTTGTCAGTTTTAATCATCACAATTAAATGAAATAAACATTTGAAATATATCAGTCTGTGTGTAATGAATGAATATAATATCCAAGTTTCACTTTTTGAATGGAATTACTGAAATAAATCAACTTTTTGATGATATTCTAATTATATTACAGTAATAAAATCAAACACAGGGTATAGTATAAAGAACACATATACACACTATAAACAAAACAGACAGATTGAGACGAGTGCCATGAAAAATATACATATTATACATTTGCAACTTATAGACAACTATGAATAATTTAATGTAACAATACCTAGTTGTCAGGACATTGGACAATATCTCCTCACAAACTGCACAAATCTGATAAATAACATCTATAATTGAGAATTTTTGCACATTCCTTGTTAATTGTTAATTAATCCTGTATATTCTTTTGCATTTTTGTCTTAGTATTATAGTATATTTATATTTCTATATTTATGTTCATGTGTACCACTGAAAGCACCAATACCCAAGGCAAATTCCTCCTATGTGAAAATGTACCTGGCAATAAACCTCATTCTGATTCTGAACTAGTTTAAAAGTATTTGATGAATAAAGCACAACAAAATATACATGAGGACTTCTGAGACATTTAAAAAAAAAAAATGTCTATCAAAAAAATTTGATAAAAATTGTCATAGAACACACAATGTGCTTAAAAAGTTGCTGGCGGATTGTTTTGTTAAATTAATACACATTGTATTAATATCTCAAAATTGACTTGTGAAAACATAAAATCTCAGTTTCGGCAACTTAATGTTGTTTATGGCGGAACAAGAAAACCATTCATTGGGTGTAACAGCTGTAACCATCACACCATTATCACAAAATGTCCACGTTTTTTCCTCCATGTTTGAGAACTGAAACTGATTGTTCCGCACAAGACAGAAAAGCTGACAAACAACTGAGATCATGAATGCTCCCTTCTGTCAGCAGCACTCCTCTGATATGTTCATGGTTGCACAGTTGCACCTGCACAGTAAGCAGTACAACACTGTGTTGTCCTGCAGGCTGTAAACAATCCTGTCTGCTGCTCTCCCTCCTCCGTGCGTCTGACGTACTCGCTAAGCCCCGCCCCTGGCATTGCTCTCACGCACCAGTTACGTCTGACCGTAAAAAATAGAAACTTCCAAGATGGCCGAGGCCGTAGACTCCATGCATTTCGCAGCAAACAGCAAAACAAATTCCCCTAAACCCTTGACAGCTAAACGGCCGCCGGAGAGCCGACCGCAGTCTTCCAGCGACATTTACCCACCGCCCCCTAAGAAGGTCCGGGTGGAGGAGAAGGGGCTGAAGCACAGGAAACTGAACGGAGAGGTGTGCGCAGGGGAAAAACACAACGGGAAGCAGAGTTGTGGGAGCCCAGCGAAATGGAGTTTCGGCCCGGCCAAGGCGAGCCACTCCACCGCCGCCGCGGTGCCCGCGACCCCCGCTCGGAAAATCTTCAAAATCAGCAACTTCCTCGCCTCGCCTCTCAAAGTGAAAAAGGCAAAAGAGAAGCGACACAAGGAGAAGGAGAAAAGCGGTGAAGCGCAGCGGAGCTCAGCCGCTGGTGTGGAGAGAGTGAGCCCTGCTAGCTGCCATACAAAGACCGAGAACGGCGACGTGAAAATGCTACAGAGAGGTAGGACAGCACAGTCAGCCTGCTCACTGCCTGTTTAACCACTTTACTGTCAAATTACAAGCTGTAGGTGAAGCAGTACTGTCATAAAATGATTTATTAAATTATTACATAATTGTCTCTACCATAGGCCCCCAGTATTTATTAGGCCCAGATGGTGATATTTACACGTGGAAATGTTTGTTCGTCAGTTATGTTACTCAGCATGGATGTGGCAGCTTTTCACCTCCCTCTGTCTCCTCTTCTGCTCGTCCCAGATCACCGTGTGAAGGAGAAAGACAGGGAGAAGAAAAAGGAGAAGACTAAAGAGTGGAAAAACCACAAAATGCCACCTGTACATGACATAGCAAGAGAAAACGGAGAAGTGATTTCTCCACCAAAAGGTAGAGATGAAAAGTAACGTTGACCTGTTGAGATGAAAAGTGATTTTTTTTTTATTAGTAATTTGGAATAACATTTTGAAGTACATTAGTCTCTTAAATCGGTTTTGCCTGTATACAGTGTTGGAGGTGTGATAGAGGCAACTTTGCTCAAGTCACTTCTCAAATACTATTTATAGAAAACAATCAAAGCAGAGCAGAAGATTAAATATCTGAAATATTTGAATATGTACAATATTGTTGAATGGAATATACATTTAAAGTTCATGCAAATACTAACCATACATTAATTTACTGTTACATGAACACATAACTTAGTTGAACAAATCACCTTAAGTTAACACAAAAAAAGTTGTCAAAGTTCAGATTTAAAATTATTGCTTTTTTTGCATAACCCTCAAATGATGCACAACATCGTACTTACTCTGTAAAATGTTTTATCCTCCATCACAGAGTCTATGGAGAAGCCCGCAGCTGGTTCAGAGGAAGATCTCCTACTGAAGAAACTCAAGAAGAAGAAGAAAAAGAAGCACAAAGATGGAGAGCGGGTGAAAGAGAGGCACAGCCGACCCAAAATGTATCACCGCTCATGCCAGACGGTGTGTTCAGGAGTGTCCCTGGCTCTGCCCGACTTCCTCACTCGAATTAATGGGAACAACAGCATTAACAGCAGCAGTCTACTCCACACCACCGCAGCACCACCACAACAACACCAGGATCCTCATGAAACTGCCGCTACCTCTGCCTCCATCTCCTCCGTGGTCAGGGGCCGGCTCGGCTACAGCTCCCCGCTCCACTGCACACCAGCGCCGGTACTGCCTGGTCTGGAGTTTGGCCCCCTGATCCACATCGAGCAGCAGGCCAACGGAGGGGCATCTGTGGCGCACGCCTACTCCGAGCAGCTCTCCTGCCTGTCTCCGGCTGAGATGCAGCGCTTTGCCCAGGAGTTTGTGACCCTGTCGTTCAGCGAAGACGAGGCCCAGGCTGCGTGTTTTGTGATGGGCATCGTCCATGGAGCGGCTTCCTACCTCCCAGACTTCCTGGATTACTTCTCCTACAAGTTCCCCAATGCGCCAGTGAAGATGGAGGTGCTCGGGAAGAAGGACATCGAGACGACAACCATGGCCAACTTCCACTCTCAGGTAGGATGCTTGTTTCTGGTCTTACTTTTCCTCTGACAGCACAGTAAGAAGGCTGTGTGTGTGACAGGACTCTAAACTGTCCACATTGGTACTGTGAAGTGTCACCTTGTAGTCAGGAGGTGTGAGCAGCACAGACTGAACTGCCACAAGCTGAAACAGCACATCATCAACAGTTTTGATGATGATGTGTGTCAGTCTTTGTCCAGACTGTCGAGGTTTTCACGCTGCCTCGAGCCATCTTTACTCCTGTGTTCAAAGTGTTTCAGAGTCTTGTGGAGCAATAAGCCATAGTGGTGTCACATTGTTTGTCGCTAACCATAATGGTTTCTTGAAAAGCTCCTCTGTTCTTGATGGACATTATGGCACCTTCAGTCGGAGTTGCGGAAGAAAGTGTAATGGTCTATGAATGAAATACAATTAGTGCATGCTTTGTAAAGGGATGGCTGTTTTCTAGTAGGGCGCTAAATTTACAAAAATGAGAAAACGTCTACTTCTCTTCAGTCATTGGTGGTCTCTTTACTTCTCCATCAGTTCCTGACAGTTGTTAGTGATAATCTTGAAGGTGTTGTTTTCACCTGATGTTTTTGTTTTAATTATGAGTTTCTGGTCACTTTCCTTCTGAGTTGAATAGGTTGGAAATAATTATCTTTGACTTTTTAATTGAAAGAGTGTACTGATTTTTCTAATCTGAAATCCTGTGATACGAGTTAATTTGACAATATTTAAATACAATTTTGTCATAATGCTTAATTTGAGATAAATGTTTTAATAAAGCATGAGTCTTGGATTTTTTTTGTAGAAAGAACATTTTATGAAATGTCACAAGATTTGTAATCAGAAACATCCACTTTTATAAGTGTTTTCCATGTTAAAAATATATTAATGTCAACTTTTATAATGAAGCACACATGTCTGAAGAGCTGTCCTTTCAAATGATTTAGTAATAATAATTAGTAAATATCTATTTATATCTTCCCTAAACTAAGCTGCGATTAAGAAATCTGATCCACCGGAGACAGCACTTGATATTTTACATGAAGAAAAGTCAGACATGAGGTCTACCCCTACACCTCCATCACAGTTTGTACTCTAGCATCATTTGAACATGTTTTTAGAAATGTAGAGAATCACTTTAGGTCAGGAAAACCTAAAACTATTCAAGCCATTTTTTCACGGTCTCCCTTGATCGTACTCCAAGCGCTTTGTAATCAGATATTGCTTCAGCTCGTCTGGCATCATGACTTCCTCCGCTACCAACGTAGGGGCAGATGGTGGATTTCATCTTGTTGCTGTTCTCAATAAAACCAAACTCGAGACAACTGTCAGCATATTTTCTTAATATAGCCGGTTGGGGCTTAACGTCACTTGATGATATGGACTGTGTTTTCGATGCCAGCAGTGTTCAGTGCCCCTCGAGTTGTGACTGAGTGATTCATGGTTACGTTTGCTGTTAGACCGACGGAGAGTTTCTACTGGCACTAAGCTTACATGTGGGATTAATGGACACTTGGCCCAAAAAGCCTGAATATGCACTTTTTAAAACACAGCACGGTTTTGTCACAGTGTCTGTGTGTCACAGAC